CGGACTACTTTTCCTTCAACTTGGTGTTCGAGGCGTCCACCTCGACTCGCGTTCCTTTACGACTTTGATGTTATTCTTTTGTTTCATCCTTTCTCTCCGGCCCATCAGCACCATCGCAGGATTTTTTTTGCATTTGTTTAAATGGTTCAGCTATCATCCATCCTCCTTCCCCTGCCCGCCCTTGCCCCCGCCTACTACCCCGCCCCCGTCCCGCCCGCCTCCCTCGCCTCCGCTGCCCCCCCATCCGCGCGCTTTTCGCCCCCTGGAGCATAGAGATTTGATTAAGAAATTTTTGAAGAATTGGCAAAGTAGAAGAATTATAATGCATTAGCCAAAATAGCTGAAAAAGATAAAACTTAATTCAAAATATTCAAGAGATTGAAATGGAAAGGCTAATTATATTAAATAAATGAATCAATTAGAGTCAATTTTTAGGATAGCTTAAGAATTGGAATAATCAAAAGAATCACAAGCATAAAATCATTTGTTGATAATCAAGAATTGCCATTGCTTCAATTAAATTGGTACTACTCGAAAATGGATCTCGATTCATAATGGGAACGATATATGAAATGTTTCAGCGAATATGAATTATTCCTCACTGAAATTTCAGATTTCATATTTATAGGACAAATTATCGACAAAGTAAAGGTTTTAAGTTTGAATGAATATGATTCATTTTTAGATGATGATATTAGTGGTTAAAATAGATTATTTTTTATGAGATGCACATACAATGGTGACAAGAAAAGTATAAATCCGAATCCTAATGAATTAGAGAAGGTATGTTTTTGTGATATGCCACAAAATCCAGATCTAGTCTATATATTTTGTGAATCATGTAAAAAATGGTTACATATGGACTGTGTGCATTTAACTGAAGATGAAGCAAAGAATATTGAGGAGTATATCTGTGTTTAATGCAATAAGTGATAATATTTTAATTTAAAAATAAATTTTGTTTAATTCTGATGTCATAAATAGTTTTGGTTGTTGGTCCTTTGAGAGCTGGTAAAAGCAGCTTAATAGATGCTCTCACTTATGGATAGCTTCATAAGGAAATTTATACTTAGGATATTCATTTCTAAGTAAAATTAGCAAAAATCGCTTAACATAGAGTTTACGAAGTCCAATCTATAGAATGGGATGGAAAACCATTAGGCCTAATCGAATTTTATTCTAATCTTGCTGATTTAGTCTTGATCGTAGTTAATATTTGCGGAAATTATGACTAAATGGATTAAGTTCAGGAACTATATTTAACAATCTCTAATTCTTCAAATAGAAAATAATAAATCACTCTAATAGGCAACTGGAACGGATAAACTCAAAGAAATTAATAATTATGTTAAAGTATAAGTAGATTTGCAAAATTAAATGACATAAAACTATATGAACTAGATAGTATAAATCTGATTAATGTTTAAATGGAATTTCATTACATAAGAAATTAATATTCTATTTTTGATGACATTTTCAATAAAAATAAAAATACTATATTGTAAATTGCATCGTAAGCTGTTACAATATTTAAGTGATTATATATGATTTATGATAAATATAAAGGGGATCAATTGTTAATAAATTAAAAAAGTAATTTAGAATCAATCACAATATAATTTATTTTTATTGACTTTGTAGATGTTTTCTCTTATTTAGTCAATTTTGGAAATGATATTTACAATTTTATTCGGATTTTCATTTCTATTCATGATTTTTTTTTAATAATCTTTGCTTTGGCCATAAAAGATATTGAGTTTAGCTTAGAAATATTATAAATAGATAACCTTCTGTTTCTGAAATTATAGATTCATCAATTATGCAATCATCAACTTAATTTGTTGGACAATTTTTATTGTATTTCAATGATTTTTGGATCCCCTAACAAGATTTTTTGGGAAGTCTTTCTGAAATTGGGTTTTATTTGTTGTCCAACCTAAAATTGATTTTTTAGTTTATTACTCGTAGAAATCTAATTCTCCAATATTATGTAACTCATTGGTTTTCACATTACAATTCAATTTTAAAGCATCTAGAAAGTGATCTGATGTAGCTCGAAATAGCTTATATCTAAATTTTCATTTTTACTTTTTAATATACTTCCACAATTGGCTATTTAGTTCCATTTTCCAACTTTAATTATTTTATTCGAGATTATATGTGTGCTGAGTCCAATTTAGGTCTAAATTAATGCTTGATATATACCTGATTAACGCCATGTGTTTAGTTCTTGCTTAGATCTTATTCTTAAATACTAAGATAAATTAAAATATTATACTCAACTAATCAGGACTCGACACTAAATTATTATTTCTAATTTAGGATCTATAATCTTCTGCTATTAAATTCAAGTGATTTAATCGTTTATTTTCTTAATAATCACTTTTAATATAAGTTCTGTATCCTTATTTTGAGGACTTTCTTTCTGGTAGAGAAGGCTGAGTATTTAGAGTTTTTTTAATTTCACTATAGTTTTAATCATGGTTAACAATAAATTCTTTTATGTCATTGTAATCAATCATCGTTTCTTATTAAGTAATGGTATGTGTAACATGAAAAGTCTTTCTTTTTGTTAAAATGCTCTAAATATTATCATTAGATTTACGTTTCTATATTTTTTTGTTGGCAAGCTGTTATTATATTTAATAACATCAACACATGAGGCTTATCCAGAAAGGTAAGTCTCAAATTTATTTTTGAAATCAATAATCTATATTGGCATTTTGCAAGTCCTTTTTGATTCTGCTGTTGTTGTTGCTCTTTAACTAAATGTTTAATCAAAAAGGGATTTTTGCCTTTTAATATTTTACATATTATAAAATTCTTATCCCATAAAATTATGAATCAATCAATTAACTTATTAATTTCAGAAAGGAATCATCCTTTATAATGATGTATATCGAAAAGAGATGATTTTAATGATTATCATTTTGCTTTCCTTCGGCTGAAATTATATTTTTTATTTCCAATAATATTTCAAAATTATATCAATACTTTATAATTATTCAGTATAAAAAGTCACAATAACTCATATTTACCAAAAGGAACATATATCTATCTCTCTTATCTAAACTTAAATGCAATTAATTATTTATAATATTGCATGTCCTCAAAATATTATTTGCTGGTGCAATCCTAATCGCTTAATTAAATGATAGCATAGAATCCCCATTCTAATATTTCTGATGAATTATTTGCAGATAACTTGATATGATAAAATAATAATCCATACTTAGACAATTGAATGTAGCTGATTATCGTTTAGATTTGAGACTATAACTTTCTCTACCTTTGCCACGTAATTAGATTGAAGCTCTCTTGAATCTAATCCATCTAATAATCTGATTCCTCTCATTTTTGTTTATATGGGGTTTGGTTTTATTAATTTTTACTCGCTTCTCCAGGGTTTGAAACCTAAACGAGAAAAAATTTTTTCAGTTAATGAGACCCTTTGTTTTTTATTTGATAAATCATGTTAATTATTTAGTTCTTCTTCCAATTCTTTGACTTGCTCATTAATTATTTCTTCAACCTATGGAACCACGAGATCCTAATTGTCAGAAGAATTATTCATCTCTTGAAATTATTTCGTCAACTCATCAATTTTCTTTTTCAATTTTTCATTAGACATTGTGTTTTCTTAATCATTTGTAGATTCAAATTAGTTCAAAATTTAGAATTTTTTTTGATTACTACTACTTACTTAGTTTTCTTTATCTTCTTGAAACTAAACTCTGAGTTATCGTTTGGAATATTTAGATGCAGATTAATTTACAATTTATTGTTATCCAACTTCTGTTTTTTAAATTATCTAATGTGCCTAAGATTGAATCTATTTCAACAATTACTCATCTTAATAAATTTTTTACATAATATTTAGTATGTTTCTTTATATAAATTCTGTGTATTTAGATTTCTCTTTGCATAAAGAATGAAACACAACTAAAATTATTATCCATAGATTATTGTCTTTTAAAAGTTTTTCTCCTATTTGTGTTTTAACTTCAGGTATGAAAACTTAGAATGATAAATGTTATTTTAGTATGCTTGAGTCATCGGTTAGTAGTTGAATAGCAAGATCAAAAGAATCATTTTTATTTTGCATATCGAATACAATTTAAGATAATTATCTTGTGATGATATCGCCATCATGATATTGATATTGAGAATTCTTCTTTGCAAGCTTAGCTGACTTGTTTCCTGATCGGAGTGATTTCTTAAACAATATATCACTATTGCTAATACCCGGTTCAAACATATATTTAAATACAAATAATACAACGAAAACACTCTAAAATAAACATGATTAAATCAATGATAAAATTTATACAATAATCACCAGAATTCAAAAATACTGATGATGGAAGGGCACAAAGAAGAATGAGACGATTTCAATAATTATGGAAGAATATTTTCAATTATTATCATATCAAATAGTTCCAGGATGCATTTGCTTAAGTTAGTTGTTAATTTTAAATTATTTATATAAATATCAATGATTTGAATAAATTCAATTTTAGAAATAAGAATTCTATTAGCTCTTCAATTCTTAGAGTGATATGGATTGATCTTCAACATTTTCCTAATTGATAAATTGATATCATTTACTTGATAGTCACTTCTCATAATATTGTTTCTTTTGGCAATGTTCTTGTCTTAAGATCGTTTCATTTTTTTCTTATATTTTCGCAATTTATAATACAGCACAATTATTGACATGATTTAAATAGTAATAATAGTGACCAATAGGACAATAACTAAGATATAAAAAATGGATACTAATAGTCCCAATCAAATAAGAAGAATCTTAAAAGGTAAATAATACTTAGACCGTCACCCATGGAACAAGTAATTTAAAAAAAGTTCCATTAACGCATGGCAATTATGTATTATCGACTATAAAGTAAGATGAATCTGTAATATTTTAGCTAACAGTGCTTGCTCCCAGGATTTGATTTTAGATTGACTGTAGTGTGCAATTTTATGTGCAACTTTAAACATCTTAGAGGATCATAACATTCTATTGGTAACATGATATATCTTATGAGTTATTCAGTTCAAGAAAATCAAATTTCTAAGAGTAAACTCCTTATGAATTGTTTTTCTATCTTAATCTAAAAAATACCAAATTAGCTAATAGTTTTTTTTGGGGTTGAATTTCTTGACTTGCTCCTGATTTATATAAGTTTGAGTGAAAAATGACATATTGATTCTCCAACAAAGGGATTTCAATATTTAAATCAATTCTGAGCCCTGTGCTCTCTGAACAATAGACTGTATATATAATAAAAATAATAAAACTCATAAATTAATAATAAGTTTGATGCAAAATTAAAGTCATGCTGTAGAAACTCAATAGATCATTCTGACATTTCTATATTGGATATAAAAACAGAAAATTACAAAAAATATGAAATCAATGCTTGATCACAATTAAGGTGCTATTAAGTCTGATTGCTTTAATTCTTAACAGTTTCTTATTAAAATATATAGGATCTCGAATAAGAATATTTGATTTCATTAAACTAAGGTGTAATTTAGGAATTCTTAAAAAGATTGATTTCATAATCATTGATAATATTGATATATATATGAATCTAGATTTAGCAATTCTTTTCATATCAAATGCTCTGATTTTGGAATAATATATGTATTTTGTATATTCTAATTGTAAGAAAGAGTGTACTGAATTCTTATAAATTGTCAATTAATTTGATTTATTTGATTAAAATATTAATAATGTAATAATTAGTTTTTTGATTGATTTCTATTAGATGAGGGGAGAATGCTCTTTTAGATATTATTGGAAGCTATATGCCTTAATATAAAATAAAAAATATCATTGTTGATTGTTGAGTTGAAATTATGATGGATAAATATAAACTGGCACTAACATTGGTGAAGGCACATATATTGGAATCTGATAAAGGCAATTCTAATAAAGTTGAACATAAGCAGGTGCTTACTAAACTGATGATTGTTAAATTGGTTGTTGAATTGCAGGAATATATTATTGCTCTTAAACATCTTGATTCTGCTAACTCTCTTCTTCGTTCAACTTTTATTTTTTCTCAGGTACTATATAGTATGGATTTTTAATATTGAGATATTTGTGTCTGAGGCATGAATAGAATCGATTTTTAACACTGTTCTCAGATCTTTAGTTGAGAGCTTTAGTAATTACACTCCACTTCCCTCCTATGGATTGATAAAGTTCAACAATCTTTTTATCTTCTTCCATACTCCAAGGGGAAGTGTTAATTAATGGATCCAATTAGTTAAGATAATGTTCTCTAACCTATTTTCCAGATCTCTTTTCAAAAAAAGTGCTTATCAAACACCAATTAAAGCCATGGGCATTAACTAATTCAAGCAATTTAGTGTCTTCTTCCTTAGTCCAAGTTCTTCGAAGCTTGAAACCTTTGATACGCTTCCATCTTTGAGAACATTAAGATGGATTACGGCCTTCAATTCTCCTGGCTACTTCAATCCAATCATAGTCTTTGATTCTTTTGAGTTCAGCCAGCAACCTATCTTCACTAGGTGTCCATGGTTTTCGTTACGATGCAGATGAGTTAGAATTTAATGACATATTTAATTTAACTTTGAAATTATAATATAGTTGTTTAGTATTTATTCAGTTTATTGTTCTTACGGTTAATTTGCAATTAAATTTCTAAAAGTATTGAATAAATAATCATTATTCATTTACTTTTTTATCAAGTAATCCATTATCAGATTTTCATCCTCCATCTGAATCTTCATTGCAACTGCTAAAACACCATCTGAAATTCAAAAATCATTAAGAATTCAAAAACCCCCTTTTACTCATATTTTACTGAAAAGTACTGTTTAAATAAATAAAATTTGATAATTGCTTCAAAATATCTGATATAATGCTGAGATTATCAAGTTTTAGCTGCGCATATCAACATATTTGAATCTTCATATCACAAAAATGAAATTAATTTAAATATATCAAAATGATTAGATATTATAAAATTATCTATTCCCAGAACTTAACTTGAGTATCTAGTTATTATTTAATAAAAAGTTTTAGTGTTAATTTAGTTTAAATATAAAAATTATATAAGAAATTTATAATATAAATATTTAATCATTTTTTATGGAGCAATTATAAATCTTTTACCCTATCTAAGCATTTTTACAACAATTTAGCCTACTATTTATAAAATATTTAAGGTGCCATATAAACAATATTAAATATTTATTGAGTATGTTGATAATATATGTGTAATTAATAGGAATTGGGATTGGACAATAATCTATCAAGTATTGTAATAGCTACTTAGCAAAACTCTCTGAGTTATATGTATTCATATGTGGTCCACTTTTATTATTGAGCCAATTACATCATTAATTTTATTTATAAAATTTCTTGACAAATCCGTTTCATTTTGGCTTCTAGAGTTTCTATAAAAAAATCATCTCCCCTATATACAATATATTTATCTAAATAACTATCGTTTTATCTTCTTTAAGGTCTTTATGGATTGCAAACTTAAAGATGTTAATCAGACAATTGAAGAGAAATATATTAATCACATGACAAACAATAAATTAATTGTAATTAATTAGTAACTAACTATAAGGAGGAATTTTGAATTAAACTATTGATTCCATATTCTGCTTTTAAATACTGTAAGAATTCAGAAGTATTTTTTGATTCATCAATTATTATGCTTTCATCAGAGTGAAATGGTTATTAGACTTAATAATATTATTATTACTAGGTAGATTAATTTAATATATGGTGATCTTAATTTTTAATGGGAGGATTTTAATGAAACAAAGGTTTATTATGTACTTATTCAAAAACAGGTTTTTCAAATATTTTCTTCTGATGTGAAATGGAATTATCTCTACTAGTATTTTTAGGACTATTTATGCAAATACAAGGGGAAATTTATTCTCTTGGGGATTTAGTCTGTTTGATAATTTGATTTGACATCTAATTATTCATGAATTGTCTGTTAGAGTTAGGATTATATTATTCTTACGATTACAATAAGTTATTATTCGGTTATTATGGAGAGCCTTGAATATAGGGGGTAATTTGACCAGAGTTAATTCCAAAGGTATTATTGTCTTAAGATTGATTTCTATGAGGTATCTAAATACTAGGAAAGAGCTGCTTATTAGATCTGTTGTGAATTTACGAGTAATTGAGTTAATCTTATGAATTTTGTTCTTATGGAAATAGTTTTTATTCTAAATTTGAGGGATTTGAGTCATAATATATTGGTTATTATTAAGAAGGTTTATTAATATTAGCATTTTAATTATACAGTTATTGTTTCTGTTGCTCTATAATTTAATGTTATTGTTGAAATAGTTACTCTCTTTATTACAATTACTTCTCATAATGATTTTAATCCTTTTATTATTCAATGTTATAAAATAATTGTTCATATCGTTATTAATTTTCTAATCGTTACTATTACAATTCCTGTAACAATTATTAATATTCATTTCTTTGATTAATGTTCAATTAATTAATGTTATTAGCCATTAGCTATTAGATGTTATCAATTTTTTAGAGAATTTCATTATATTTTAGATAATTCTCCTGCTTTTGTTGTAACATATTGATTTCTAACTCTTTGTAATATTGCATAATTTGCTGATATTAATTATTCATGTCGTTTTGATTGACTTATTACATGACACTATAACGTTATTGCTTTGGTTAGTTGGAAATTGGAGAGTTGAGTTAAGTGGAAAGAGTTTATTATGAGGGAGGTCTAATTAATTGGGGAGTATAATATCGTTGTTGTTATTGAATTTATCTTTCATGAAGTACAACATGCAATAACTATTCTTAATTTTAAGGAATTGGAGAAGGTTTAGGTATTCTCGGAGGTGTGGCGTATTGATTCAACATATTAAATAAATAATATTTTTATAATGAACACGCTAAATCAACTAATTCAGAATAGTGTAAATAGGTACATTAAAACTCCTTGCTATATTTTTTAGTGAAAATTTGCAAATGGAATTGAATACACTTTATAGAAAATATTAACAATAAGGGAAGTTGAATGATTTTGCTATCTCATTAATGACACAGTTCATATATAAGGGATTGTTGTTGGCCGTAATGTATGCAATTGATGGGTTATGCTTTTGAAAAATCTTTAATTAAACGATTCTATTTGGACAAACTGTCATCAGTAAAATTGTGCTATTAAGAAATCATAGATGGTTTAAGATCAGTTCTATCTTTTTATTTTTTGAATTTCAAATTGAACATGGTTATAGATGAAATTTATGCTTGTGATAAGTTAATTAAATATAGTTGATAATAATCCAATAATTTTTCTTTCTTTAAGAGACATGATATTATAAATAGAAAAAAAATAAAATATTTGGAATTATAACTCAATGATAAGATATTAATGTAATAGAGGATTTGGATTCTAATTTAAATTATGAAAACTATTTCATGACTTTTAGTTTAGTAAATTATAGATGGAAAAATGAGTTAAAAATATGAATGCTAGATGAATTGACAATTGGATTGTTTCATATATAATTTTCGAATGAAGAGTAGTTAATCAATTAAATATTAAATCTATTTAAAATAATTGGTATTCCCATATTTCTACCTCCTAAATGATGCTAGGTTTATAGTTGTTCTAGTAAACTTATTTGAAATAAACATTCTACATGACCCATGGAAATTTGGATGATATAAAAAGTTTATAAACCAAAATAAAATAAAATCTCTAGTTAAGAATTAATGATAGCAATAAATATATAAATTTTATTATGCAAAATTAAATATTAACAAATAGATCAATAGTCAAACAGGACAGGATCTCCAAAATATTATCAAATTATAAGACTGAAATTGATAAACACAGTTAGTAAAGCTTTAGAATGCTTAGTTAGAAAATAAAACGAAAAGTACATACTATAGGTATGATAAGATAGGAAATCAAATTAGTGATAACTAAGCAAAATATCCCATACCAAAAAATAAAACTGAGGTATCCAGATTCTTTAGTGATCATTCTAAAAGCCAATTCCAAATTAGTGTTAAGGATCTACTCTTACATAAAAGTCAAATCTAAAAATTATAATCAAAAAAACCCAAAGATGACAAACAAATGGTTCCAAGAATAAACAAAATTCAAAATGATATTTTTAAAAATTATCTTGCTCAAAGAAATTGTAATGGTTCTAAAACTTATAGAGACTCAAGTAATATCAGTGTCTCTACATAGGAGATTTAGATGTCCGAATCAAAATGAGTGACAAAAGTACGCATTCTCAATAAGCCCTCTTGCAAACACTCATCAACAAGAGTTATGAAAATAAATTCAACGAACCGAGAGATTCCCCAGAATTATGTTACGCTTCATAACATATATTTAAACTGCTTTAATAATCAATAAATGGATAAAGCAGTCTCCTTCTTCGTTCTGGCAGTTAAGGGAATGTTGCAAATACTTCATCATCCAATAATAAAACCGCGGATCCAAAATTCAATAAAATTAAAACATTTCTAGAATCAACCAAAACATTTCATAGTAATACTGACCCATACAAACTAACAACAGATCAAGAACTTCTATAAGCTAAATCAAAGTTTGTTAAAGTGAATTAAAGTAAAATTTAATCTCTTTTATAAATTGCAAATAAAATCAAAAATACCATGGATGCATTGAATCAAATACTAATTAAATAAGAAAAAACATCATCTATAATATCAAATCTCATATCTTATGAATGTAATTATATTTATTATAATTAAGTGTCATCTAGAGATAGTATCGAGTCAATCTTTACTTTAGAATGATTATCTACATATTAACATATAATTAATATCACTTGAAAGCTTTAATTCCATCAAAATGTTTTATTTTTTCTGGTATAATATTTGTGTATAAAATCCTATCACAAAACTTACTATCATCAGGACAAGTTTTTAATCTATACGGATTTGCTGGATAATTCAACTTCCGTTTTAATACATGCAGAGGTGTAAATTACTATTTTTATGGTAAAATTATTTGTTAAGGTGTTGCAATATTGTTAAAAGTTTCAATGTGAAATGATTTTGGAATAAATTGTCTTTTTCTTAATGGTTTTAATTCGTTTTCATTATGAAAGGACTTATTGATATAATTATGTCTCATTCCTTTTAATTATTTTGAGTTTTATTCAAAAGTGTCTATTTTTCTCAATTGAAAGGTGTTAAAATTGTTTTTCACTTCTATTTTCAGATTCTTACTCCTCAGGTTAACGCTTCTTGACAATAAATTCGAATAAGCCATTTTTGGAGAAAGGTTTTCAATCATTTCTATCTCCATCTAATCTAAATCAGTTTGAACACAACAATCTGTACTAGTTTTTTAATTCATTATATAAATTTTATTAATATAATAATTCATTCTATAATTTACCTATCCATGATATCTTTAAAATCTAATAATTCATCCCATAATATTCCTTCTCTGTGTCGAATTATTCTCCTAAAAAAGATGAGAATTTACCCAAGTTGAATTAATATCTATAATGAGTGATCAAGTGAACTGTTGGTAGTATTGAGATTATTGATTAATACAATCTACTCTATCTAAGATTGTCTATATTTAAAGTTCTTAGAAGAGAACATCACTAAAGAAGTCAAATTATATTATAATTAAAAGAAAGTGACTTTATATCTAAGATAGTATTAATAATGAGAAGATTTTCAAAGTATTTTACATTATTAAAGTTGAGTTTTCAAACTTAACACTAGTGATAAAAAATATTGATCTTTACGCTATAGCAATCTACTGAACTTTGATGTTAGAGTAATCATGTCTTTATCGAAATATCCTCTATTCCTTATAGAAAGGAATTGAATAATTGGGAAATTAAGAGGGTTACGTTAGAATTGATTCTTATGTTTTAATTAATTTACTGGTTACTTATAATAATAGAAACTGGGCTATTTTTGAAGTAGATCTAGTTCATTGTTACTTCAATTTATTAAACAATATTATATTAAATAGGAGAGGAATTACATAGAATACGTTTGAAATAATTAATAATATATACAAATGATAATCACTATACACAATTAAATTTATTTTTAATAAAATTAACTAAGGTTTTGAAATTATCCCACATTGAAATTAATATCTCTTTTAGCAAGAAAAACAGTTACAATATTATTGAAATGTAAATGCAAAGCGCAATAACCCAGCCCAATATATAAATTTTTGAGTCTGCTAAAATTTAAAACCTATCTTAAAATGCAAATATTATTGTTATTCCTACTATTAGCAATATACAAAGGTCAGGAATAAAGTTTAAGATATATTGTTTTTTACTTATAAAAGGGTTACCCATCATTAACAACATCATATTTAATAAACAGGATAGGAAACAGACACTAGTTTAAAATATAGGAAAATTATATAGTAGGACGGTGGCAACTATGAAAATAGTTTTTCTGATTAGATTAACAAAAGAATAAATCATAGCAATCTTTGAATCCGTTTTTAGATCTTCATAAAAGCAACTATATCTCTGATAAAAATATTGATAATCTAGTTTCAATTGATGTGATGCAGATATAGAGTATGAGAAACTCACGAAATAAAACAATATAACAATAGAACTCAAAGCCATTCCAATATTTACTTTAACTATTAAGTTATCAACTGTTTGTTAATTAGTAATTTGAAGAACAATTGCTAAGGCAATATCCAAATAACTCAATTATATAGTTTTGATCAGATTAGTTATGAAAGTGGCTTCAAAAAGAGTGCATTAAGAATACAAAGGTAATAGTATTTTTGGAATTTGATAGATATGAGTTTCTTATCTTAATTACTCTTATTTTTAATCCTGTTTTTAAATATTAATATGATAATCACTAAGTTAAAAGATTGTTTTTTTTTAATTGAAAACAATCAATTTCTTATAATACCTTTACATTATTCTCCTAATTGCTGAACAAATTAATTTAGTAACTATTACTTGAAATAGAAAGATTAAAACTATTTATATGTTATTAAAAAATAATGGGTCTACATCTTTTTCTGTAAACTTGGGTTAGGCTTGAAAATAATAATCATCTGAGGGTTAATTTAATAGGCTAATAGATGGAAAATTAATGACATTACTCCATTCTGCTTGCTAAAAGATGAGTCTTACATTTTCAGGATAGTTAACATTTAAGAAATAAAAGTTATTCATCCAACTCAGAATATCTAGGATAGCCCAAATAAATTTGAATCCTCCTACTAAAAAGGCCAAAGGAGCAAACGCTATTATTGACGAAGACATGGCTTTTGAAGCTGCTGCCATTTTTTCGCCTTGTTCTTTTTATTCTTAACTCACATATACCTATCTTACTGGTACGATAATAACTTCTTATTAGAAATCTTCATCTAAAATCCGTTTTCTGTAATTCCCCTTATATTTGACAAAAATGTGGATCAAATTCGTTGTTTCAATTGTTTTGGAATATTACATGTTTATTTGACAGTTGTCGCCTGTTTCAATAACACTAAAATTGTATTCTGTTTGATTGAATTTTTCAACAGTTAATGCAGTAGCAGTACAGTTAATTGATTCCTAAGATTGATCAGCTACAATCGAATACTTATTATTATTAGAATAATTTAATTCTACTTAAATTTAGGGTTCATTGATGAAACTATTACTTTCAACATCAAAGAGAAAACCAGTTTCAATTTAGCATTCACTATTGCAGCCATCGTAATTAAGATTATTATAGTCATCACATTATTCTAAATTCGTTACAATTCCATCTCCACACATTGATTCACAATCTTTAAGAGTGAAATTATAATAGAAACCTTCACTTTGATTGCATTCCTTTAGTTGATAGACTTCGTAATCAAAAGTGATGCAATTTTTCGAAGTAGTAATGCAATCAATACAAATTTGATCACATTAAGAACAACTATTGTATTAATCAATAAAGTATCCTTCCTAGCACTTCTGGCATATTTGGATTTGATTCTGAAGTATGCATGTAATGCAATTGACATCTAAGCACCTTTCACAGGACTTAAATTAGAACACCTCGTTATATTAACAGAAGAAGCCCTCTTCAAGGAAGCAATTGTAGCATCCATCTCTTGGAAGGTCGTTATTATCATCGCATTATTCTTTTGAAATATCTAATATACCATCTCCACATGTAGCAATACATTAATTATCTTCTAATAAATATCCTTATTAACACTATTCACACAAACCTTGATTACATTATCGGCAATTTTCATTACAATCATACTCACATTAATAACACCCGTCATATTGAATATCATTTGCATCATCACATTATTCTCCTTTAACTTATATTCCATCTCCACATATAGAATAACATCCAGTAAGGTTTTATAGCCATCCTAATTCACATTAACAATCAAAGCATCCATCATCTCCATCCTCACATTATTCATTCTCTACTTTTATCTGATCACCACAAATGGTAATGATACACTCCTACAATTCATTTTAATAATATCCTTATTAACATGTATTACATTAGATAGAGTTACAATCTAAGCAGTTCTAATAGATATCTGAGCATTGATAACATTAACTATTCTATTCTAAATTTGTTGTTATTATGTATGTGTAACCATTAACACATTAACATTGATTATTGATCAAAATTTATAGTGAATCAGGACAACTCAAGCAAAAATCATAATTAAATTAACATGATTCACATGGTTATTAGCATATTTAACAATTTAAAGCTGTATCTATATAGTAGCCAAAGGGACAGACACAAGTATTCTCAAGGAGATAATAATTATGATCTATGCAACTTAAACAATAGTCAGATATATTTAAACATTTCTCGCACTCCTTGGAACATTTAGAACATTTTTAGTTTGTAGAATAATAACCATCAGGACATTTACATTCTTCACTCTCTAAGTAAAATAGACTTATTCTATCGCATTCATTACAAATATCTACATTGTCTTAACAATCCAAACATGGATACTCACATGGCAAACAATAAGTTAGGGAATCTGCAGTCTTTCCATACCCTTTTTTACATATTAGACATTTATCAATATTACAAATGGCACATGAACTATCGCATTATTAACACACTGTATAGTTTGGATCGAAATAATACCCTTATTTACAAATGCATTAATGCAATTCATTGATTTCTTTATTAATATCTACACATGAATCACAATTATAGACATTATTGGAACAAGTCATACAATCAGAATTGCACTATAAGCAAACCAAAGAATCAAGACTTAAATATCCTGGCTTGCATATACAGGCTCCATTTATTACGTTTTGATTGATGTCAGTACAGGATGTACAAAATGTAGTGGATTAAGTACATGTCAAACAAGGATTGACACAAATTTCACAATGAGTCAGTATTTGCACGTATCCATTATTGCATATACATTGATTTTATCCATTCAAAGTTTAATTAATATCTGAACATGATAAGCAATTAGTAGCAGAAAATTCACATGTGGAACAAGGTAATTGGCACATTTGACAACTTTAATTAATTTCATACTATCCACCAAGACATTTACACGTATTGCTATCAGCATAATAATTATATGTGGAAATGCAAGACATACATTTATTTTCATTATCGATGCAACTTAAACAAGGAAGTGCACAGGCTTAACAATTATTAAGAGAATTCTTGAAATATCCATCTTTGCAGATACACTATGAATTACTCACAACCATTCCTATTGGATCATTACATGATTGACATTTCGTTGAACTTTGATTGCAAGTCTAACAAGGTGCTGTGCATTGCTAGCATGCCTAATTAATGTCCGCATAGTAACCGACTGCACAAGTAATGCATGTTGTATGTGAATTACAACTTGTACAATTTTGTGGACATTGTAAAATACACTAATTATTTTATAGAATATAGTATGGTTAACATTATGAACATGATGTCGATGATGAACATACTTAGCATCCAATAAGGCATTGCTGACAAGATAAAAAATATTAATAATAACCCTAATCGCAACTCCAACAATCACTGATTAAACCACATGTTTTACAACCAATAGGACATCCATTGCCTAAATACTCTAGATGATGTACTTTTATTATTAAAACAGACAAGTGTCAAGACAATCATCGTGAAACTTTAGGCTCTTTTGGTTTTCATATTTAAAAGATTTAGTTTAATAATATTATATTGATTTGAAATTTTTTAATTTATGCTAATTTAATTGTTCTTTCAATTAAAATGAATTAATAATGTCATTAATTAATACTCTGTTTTTATTAATCAAGGAGAAAAGCACTATTTTTAAAATTTTATTAGGAATATAGTACGAACCATTATATGTTTATTTAGAATGAATTTATGATTCAAAATTTTTTAAATAAAAGACTGCAATTATAAAAAGAAGTATTTTTTTATATCTACACAAATTAAATTAATATTTATATCCAGTTAGCTTGATTAATTGCAAACACAATGCTGTGTTTCTATTCAATAAATTGCATTTAAATTTTTAGTTCAAATAAATAAGCTACTTAATCTATGATAAAGGGAATATAATAAATATTATCTTTTGTGTAGAGGTACAAAATATTAGTATTAAATTTATAATAATGATGTTACTATTTTCATAATTATTATTAATTTAAAAATATGTAAACAACATTACCAAAAGTAAGATTGTAAAGTGAGTATCCAGTAAAAAAGGTAGTAAGCCCTTAGATTGAGTTACCTGCTGAATATATTTTAGTTGAAAAGGCAGGGTAGGGTAGTTTTGGAGAGATTTATAAAATCTATAACACAATCACTAAAACTTTACATGCATGCAAAGTGGAATTTAAAGATTCTAGATAATAAAATCAATAGTCTTTGTTAGTTAAAGAATACAATACATTAATGTAATTGAAGGGAATTCAATAAATACCACAACCATACTAATTGATTTAACAGTAGGATTACAAATTAATTATAATGCCATTCTACGGTTCAGGTAAAGAAGTTATTAATGAAAAGGTAATTTGGAGGAGCTGCGTAAAAAATAATAAAATGAGAAATTCTCAGAAACAAGCATTATTAGATTGACTTACTGTTTGATTACGGCAATTGAAGCAGTCCACGAAAGAAAATTCGTTCACAGAGATATCAAGCCTGAGAATTTCTTAGTTGGGAGTTATGGTGACCATCACACTGTCTATTTAATAGACTTTGGATTGGCAAAACCATATTTAGATTAATAAGGTAATTAATTGGTTAAAAATAGGAATTCATATTCCTTAAGCAGATAACAAAGGAATGGTAGGAACCGCAAGATATACAAGCATAAATTCACATTTAGGGGCTGAGTAAAGTAGAAGAGATGATTTAGAAGCAATGTGTTACGTTCTGTTGTACCTCTATAATGGATTGTTGCCATGGCAAAATTTCTCTTGTTAAACAAGATAAGAGAAGTTTTTGAAAATATTAGAGGCAAAATAGAAGTTTGCTGCTGGTTAATTAGAAATTAATATCCCTCCGATTCTAAAGCAAATATATGATCATTCAAAAGGACTGAGATTTGATGAACAACCTAATTATGCAAAGATGAAAGAAATATGCAAGGAAGGACTCAATAAATCTAGTAATTAATAATTAAATTAGGACCTTATTGTTTTGATTGGTGTGCATAAGACTGTAAATTTAAACCCTATGATGATATGAATGATGGATTTAGTGAATTGGCAAGTGAGTTTTCTACATTTAGAAAATAACAAAGAGGATAAACAACCGATTAGATAAGCACAAACATCAAAAAGATATAACCATTCAAGTAAATAGAAGAAGAAGATGAAGAATCTATTAATGAATTCCCTAATGTTCAAAAGATTACCAAGTTTTATTAAAACAAAAAACATTGATTAATGATAAATATATATATATTAATAAATGAGATAAGTGTTCATAAATTTTGATGATATTTTGGAACTGAAAAATGTCAATGAGATTAATTTTGGTAATGATGTAAATATTTATTATTGATTCATCATGCTTTTAATAAACTCTAATATTCTTGTTCTTTCTTTTTCTATATTTCCTCTACTATTAATCTAAAGATTTCCCTATTTAATTATTACTTATCAATACACTTTCTTTTATAAGGCTTCAATTTGTAAGAATTCATCTTGCATTTGCATACATTATTTTATTTACAGATTTACTTTATCTGTATTTTCTTCGACTGCCTAATGGAGATCGTTGGCTGATGTCTTCATTAGATCAGACAATTAAATATTATTAATAGTCAACTTTCTCATGTTCAATTATGATTTGATGAGCAATTCTTATAATTCTTCCTAAAATATTTTCAATTGATTTTCCATTATAAATTAGTTTGTAATTATAAATATATATTTCTTATGTATTTAACATCAAATGAAAAAGATGTATATAAATTTATTTGCTTACTATTTTATTATTAAAAATGTATAAAATAATCTAAAAATTAGGAGATGGTGTTTTTGGTAGTGTTACAAAAGCCTTGGATGAAAGAACTCATGAATTTGTTGCAATCAAATCATATCGAGACAACTCCATCAAAGATGAATCCAAAATTAAGGAAATTCAAATCCTTAAAAAACTAAATCATCCAAACATCATAAAACTCAGGGATGTCATCAAATAAAACAAAACAATCGCCATCGTACTTGATTTCTCAGAACGAAACCTGCTATAATACTATAAATCTGTCAAGGAAAAGAATAGAACTCTATGTGAATAGCAAATCTAAAGTATTGTATACTAAATTGCTTGTGCCTTAAATTATTTGCATAGTCAAGGCTATTTACATCGGTATCACAATTGATTAATAGTAGAGATTTAAAACCAGAAAATATTATGATTTAAGACAATGGCATAGTCAAATTAATAGACTTTGGATAAGTTACATATCAAAATGAGATCCATACTGATTATGTTTCCACTCGATGGTATCGGGTATATTATAATAATGATTGATTTTAGTCTCCAGAACAAATCAAGTAAGAAATATACAATCAAGAAGTAGATATTTGGGCCTTAGGTTGCATTCTTGCAGAATTGTATCTCCTGAACCCCTTAATACCTGGGACTACGGAAATTGATTAGCTATATTAGATCTAAAATCTCAATCTGAACCAACACCAGAAACTGATTCCTATGCAACCCTTGGATCTAATTAAAGGTATGCTTGAAGAGGATCCACACTAAAGAATAACCGCAGCAGAAATTTTGCAATCAAATTGGTTATCTTAGCCATTCAAATTTTTACCAAAAGAGTTGGAATTAAAAGATGATACTAAATACTTGATAAGTCCTCAATAAACTCCTGCAAAGGCTCTATAAGTGTTTGGAAGACAAGAAAATAATCAAAATCATATAACTCACCATACCAAACCAAACTTTAACTTTTCTTAAAACCCTGTTTCTAATAATGTTGATGATGACTTAGACTGCGGGTATGTACCTTCTTATGTCTCCTCATTATAAGGTACAAGTAAAAAGAGATAAATAAGATTATAAGCTGATGAATAATAAAACTCATAGCGATAATTGTCAGATCTACAATAACAATATCAAATTGCGAGCACGAATAATTAATCATAACAAAATACTAAAAACTATTATTCAAAACCGTATATATTTTGATTATATTTATGTTAGATAATTAAACTCCTAGAAAAAATTTGGAAATCAAGCAGAGATTTATTGAATAAATATATATATTTATGATGTAAATCAAAAAAGAATGAAAAGCTTAGTTCATTTAGTTAAATGTTTTTTGAGTATCACAACAATGTCATCAGTAATCTATGTTTGATTAGTTAATTGAAGCTTTTTAGTAAATTCTACAGGTAGGAATGAGCAACTTGCTCTATGTGATTCTAGCAATCCACAATACTTAAATGCTTTAGCCACTAATTCTGAACAAAAGAAACTTTCATTAGATTTAGAGGGACTTAAACTCTTTTATCTAAAGAGCTTACTGAAAGTTACTTCATATTTCTTTCCATGAACTTGTTGTAGGAATTCAATCAACTTTTTCTCTATTTTTATTCTATCAACACCAATCAGTTTTCTTATTGCCAGTCTAAAATCGTACAAATTTTAGATTACTTCTCATAAAGGTCATTAATTTCAATGAATTATGACCATTCTATAAATGTCACTCCTGTGTCTGCATTGGCATCGAATACAAAGAGATATTTGTTAGCCATCTTAATTGCGATAGCCACATGATCATATTTAGTATTTGTAAATACTCTCTATAATTTTGCCCCTGTGTTATCGGTTTCAAAAAGAAGGACATCTCCAGATTCTACTATTTTTAAAAAGTACTCTTCTGAAATCACATCAATTCCAAAGTATTTTGATACTTCTTATAATTATAATTTATTTTTTGGATGATTTCTGTGTCTATCTAACACAATATTTAAACATCCAATCCACATCTTAGCCTCAACAGCATCTTTAGCTTAGTAAATGAGAATCTGATTTAATTGAGGGAACTATATTTTAATAATCTATTTTTCCTGTAAGATATTGAATTCAAATTCCTTTAGAGATATGACTCTAATCAATAAAGTTTGTTGTTCGTCATTAAATTCCCTTATTGACTGTCTTGTGAGTTGGACATAAATCTTCTTATTTTAGTATAACCATCCTTCTTTAACCGTCTAGTTTCCATCTATATAACTATCAAATAAGTTAGAAGTGCTCTTTCCCACCATTTTTATCTTATATTAATGCAAAGACTTACTGGAGTAGATAAGATGATTGTTTATTATTATCTCTGAGATTATCTCTTAAACTTTTCAGGGGAGCATTCAGATTTTGAATACTATTCAGGGGTAATGATTACTCTGTTTTATATTGAGAGGGATCTCTTTTTGATATCTGACATTAGGAAATTAGAGAATAAATTAAATACAGAAATTATATTTATTTTGACATTTTTATAGTTTATCTTGATTGAATTGTATAATTTGAGCAATTGTCTTTGGATACATAAATAGTGGTAGTCATGTAGGATAGATTTAATTTATAAGGAATAATAGAAAAGTATTTAACTAATAATGATTGTGATGGCGTAATTGTGTTATATATATATAAATTTAATTAGATGATTATTGATGATAAAATCCAAAAGATCTTAACATCAAATGATTTCTAAAGAGCAAGTGACAGATAAAAATTATCCCTATCTGAGTTTAATGAGTAAAGCAATAAGAGCAATGTTACAAGTTAATCTAAGCCAAAAAAGAGAAGAGTTGTAAAATTGAAAAATCAATTGTTGTCTTCTCATGTAAGTCCAGACATACAGAAACTATATTATCAATCCTAGAAAATTGAGACAGAATAATAAAGAGGAGGAGAAAAGATAATCAATGAGGAGCAGAGGCAGATTACATTACCTTAGCTGCAAAAGAAGGAGTAAGCGATATCAGAACAGTCATCTAAGACCAATCTGAATGATCTTATTATGAGTATCCAAGAGATATTCCCACCTGATCATTAACTTTGGAGGGATCTCTAAGTTGGTGATTAAAGTATCGAGGATGTAATTGTATAGAATCAAGATTACTTTTCAGATTTATTAAGTATGAAATATCTTATAATAAGTATTGTATATGTAGGAGATGCAGATTCAATCCTTGAAGAACAAGAAACTTGGATGTAAAGGTAAATACAGTACATAATACACTGATGATTACAATGATAAATATATGAAAGATTCAACTTACATTAACCGATGGATTTATGAGAAAGCAAAACAATCGGTTTCATTTTTGTAGAATTCAAGCACATATAATGTAAAAAATCTTACCCATAAATTAGTAACATTTTGTACCTCAAAAATTCGAGAAATCAGACAATTTTAAGCCTGATCATTTACCTAATCAGAATACAATGTCATGTTTGTCATCCTACACAGCCAATTATAGAGATTGGAAAAAGTAATATCATGGTATCATTGGACCATTCTATGTAAAAAGTGATAAGAAGTTACCATTTATTGCTGAGACTAATTATTCTCGTAATTTTGTGACTCAGAAATATGAAAAACTAGATCCTATTATCCCTAAACCTCTGTATTTTATACTTATAACTTAAATAGAGGACCATTTCCAGTCGAATCTCAATCTTTGGTTCGTCAAACTACTCATAAGGCTCAATTCTCGTTGCCATAGAAATTAATAGAGAATTAATCATTGACTAGTCCTCGAAATGTAGAATTAAAAGGTTTTGATGGATATCAACCTCACTTCAATAAACAATAGTAATCACCATAAGTGATGAATTCGTTTGCTGATCGATTCTTCCATTCTTCAGTTGTATAGTAATTGATGAAAAAGAATCAGAAACAAATTATCAATTGATTTATTATAAATAATAATATGTCTGTAAGAATCAAATACACTAGCATAATAGAAGCTACGACTGGATTGAAATCGTTGAGTTTATCAAAAAAGAACATATTAGCTTTAGGGAGTGGTGAAGAAGAAGATTGGTTGCTATTAAATGAAGTGGATGCACAATTTAATTTGCATCCTATATAAATTGGCAAAATGGAAAAGAGAATGATCTCTCAATTAACATGGTCTCCATCAGGACTCTATTTGGCAACAAGTAATGATAAATTGATTGTTTGGTAATTCAATGGCGGCAATTTGTCTATATATCGAACCTATTAAGGACATAAATTGGAAATTACTGCATTGTGTTGGTCCCCTGATGATTAAAGAATAGCCACGGCCTCATTAGATGGAAACATCTTTATTTATCATATTAAATAGGATGGAATTCAACATAAAATAGATTGCGGTTAAAAAACAGTTGGCATATGTTGGGATCCCTTTGACAAATACATTGTTTCCTTGAAATTTGACAATACAGTATTCACTTATTTTATAAAAGGTCAATTTTTATAAACTTGATAATTGGAAACAAGAAATCACAGTTTCCCTCCAAATACAAGGCAAACAATGCACAACCAAAAGAGAAGATAGGAAATTAGATTGGAGTGTAGATTGCAGATATTTGGCAGTTCCAAATTTAGATGATAAAGTATGGATTACTTTTAGTTTTAGACCATTCCAACAGTGGCTATCTTGGATAGAAACCAGAATTTTTAAGTTGTAAGAACTATAGTTGGTCCATTCTCATCAATCAATGTTGTTAGATTTTCACCAATGTTATTTAAGAATTCTAATTCTAATGACTATTTTAGTGTCTTTGCTATTGGAGATAATGATGGTAATATCAGTTTATGGTAAATAAATGAGAATCAAGTTGATGAACAACCATTTCTCTTAGTGAAGGGTCATAAGAAGGCAGGAGAACTAATAGAGGATATTACATGGAATCAATAGGGAACTGTTTTAATGGCTACAACCTCCAAAAAATATATAATTGTTGTTGATTTTCAAATGAGTTTAGGTTAAGTGTTGACTGAAAATGAGAAATAGTAAGCAATTAAAAGTCTTTATGGGGATCTTAAAAACACTATCAAATAAATTCGGTTTTATTAACCAAAAATTAATAATGATAATATCAAATTCGCAGATATGCAGTTGGAAAAAATTAATGTGTAAGATGAATTGAAAAATCAAATTCCTGATAGCACAATCCAATAAAGGGAAATTCCTAAATAAACCCAAACCTAATTTAAGTAGGTTATTGTAGATGGCAAAAAAAAATTAATTCCTCTTGATGTGAATTCATCAGAACCAGTTATCAAGAAGGTTGAATAACAGTAACCATTGCTTGTTATTTCATAATATGAAGTATTACCTAAGAGTTACTCGTTTTAAATGAATAATAAAACTCTCCTATTGGAAGTTCAAAAATAATAGTAAAGAATATTCAATTAAGCTGTCTATGGAACTTTAATTAGATGTATTGAAAATAACACGCCAAAATGGATTGATTATGTAGAGGGTTAAGTAAAGACCATTCAATATAATGATGACCTTATTATCATATATACTGACTAAGCTTTACTTTACATTGAGAATCATAAAGGAATGAGATAGGAAGCGCCATTTATCTTGCCTTTCTTAAGTTAGATTGTTCTTAGTCCCAAAAATCATATCTTATGTCTTCAAAACACTGGAGAATTTAAAGTCATCAATTTAAATTCAAAAACTATTTCTTATGAAGGAGACATCAAAATCCTTATGTAATATGTCTATGAATGGATGGATAAGAAGTAATTGTTGAATGATGATGAGAAGAAAGGCAAATAAAGCATTGACCCATTAATAAAAGCAAATCTGAAGATTGATACTGAAGGATACCCATTAGTTGAATTTCTATTTAAGGATTATTGTGTTTACACTTATCATAAGTAATTGAGATAATGGATCAAAACTAAATAAATTGATGTGAAGTATTCATTATTTATATTAAATAGCAATCAAAATTAGGATATCAAGAATTTAAAGAAATTTAATTTTAATTAATACTAAACTCCTCCTTATAATGACGCTTAGATATATAAAAGATTAATTTAAAAGACCACTATTGAAGATGCAATAAATGATATTTAATAAATATCGAAATTGGAAGAACAATTAAAAATATTTTGGTCAGATGGAGATATTAAAACGTATGAGAAAGCATTATATACTTATATTAAGAAAGTAATTTGAGAATTTAAACTAAATAGTTATGCGATACTTGGCCAAATAATCAAGAGAAATTGTCAAATATTATTGAAACAATGATTACTAACCAAAATTCAGCTGAGTACAAATATTTGAAAGAACGAGTTTAGGATATGGAAGAACTAAAGAAAAAAATAATTTATATCCTACAGCAATTTCCATAAACTAGAGATTTAATATTGTGTCTTTTTCCAGATCATTTCTGAGTATATATAAATTATATAGATAAATATCATTATTAAAGCAATTTGTAGTGCAAAAGATCCTTTTAGATTAACATGAGTTGATTCAAACAGTTTTCATTCCTTGAATAATAACTGTGCAATCTATCTAATTCTTACTCGAAATTGGTCATCTTTGGTCTAATTTTGTATGGATACTAAAGTGCAACCCTTTCCCATTCATTCTATTCCAATCGAGCACAATTTGATTAATTAAATTTAAAGATAGAGAGGTTCATTAATGCCTTATTTTCGATATCAGGATTGATTTTTTTTAATTCTTATTATATTTACTTAAGATCCATTTGCATTTGCTTTGAAGATTGGAGACTATTATTTCTTTCTCTCTAAAGTGATGGATGAGAATTCTACATGGATTTTGTCTGACGAACCACACTCAATTATTATTTCCTTTTGGTTTGATTAAGCTCTCCTAACAATCGTTTTGCTTTATCACTTTTTAAGGAGTCCAGTTTATACAACTTAATTAGGGTCTTTTCATAATTGACCTGATTCTTCTGCAGATAGGCCCTGATCTTATTATCAACCTGATCAAACAATTAATTTTAATAAGCAAAATCCTTCACCTTGCTACTCATACTCCTTTTCTCTCTTATATAAGGTTGAATAGATTTTCGAGGAGTTAATGTTTCATCCAATACATCAATTGTATTTGATGAAATCTTAGGAGAACCATACTTCATTTAATTATATATTTAATATACACATAATTCATTACTATTATTATTATTTCTTAACTTATTTTATAAATTTATCTTTCTGTTTTTATTACTTATACTTCCTCTTTCCCTCTTCTAAATGTTACTTCTATCCTTTAATCTAAGCTTCCTTGACCTTCTACTTTTGAATGTCCTTCTATTCTCTCTTTTTCTCCTTCTCATTCTTTATGGTATTCAATCGCTAAATCAAAGAATAAACTTCCTTCTCCTTGTCTGTCATATTGCTCTTGACAGGTAAATTCTTTTCCACTTATTATCTCAATCTCTCTCTGAAGGACAGCGACTTAACCTAAACCATAATATATTTAATTACCTTCTCTTTGCTTTCAAAAGGTAGATTCTATTATAAATTATTTGGTATTCTCAAAGGAGCAAATTTCACAGGAACTCTTTCCTGATCTTGATAAGTAGAATCTGGTTTGAATTCTAGAGGAATCTACTTCTCTTGCCTTAATTCCCACATAGTCTTCATCAATTTCACATTGTTTGTGATGAGTCTATAGAATCTCTCTATATGCATTCTGACCCAGGTTCTGCAGAAGACTAAATCACTCATTTGGATCTTGTCTTCGAACGTAGCTCTGAAACTACCATCAGGACCTAATTTGCTTGGTTTTTTAATGTGTCCTCTTAAACCAGACACAGTTTTAATCAGACCACCTTAGAATTTGGCTACTTCGAGAGAAGAATTGAACATTCCTTTAATGAATGCAGTATTTTTAATGACTTTAAAAGGTTCTCCTACCAACTTTAACTTTTTCATCACATCAAATTAATGATTCATCTCTAACACTACTCCAGTGGCAGCAACTCTAAATTTAGACTATATAATTGATATATTATTTTAATACCAATTTGTTGCTTAAAGATTGTGTACAAACGAGGCCTGTGCCCTGGGGTGCAAAATTACCATAAAATATGGCATAACAATAGTCGTATTCTGGAGTGTACTTGACAAAGCGTAATCTGTCATTAGGATCTTGTACACAATATATAGGGATTGTTTAAAATCTCCTCCATCCAAGAGAGATGATGATAGGATCATTTGATTTCAAGATGTTGCTATGCCATCTATGTTTTTTAATCCGAATCTAAAATATATGACAAAATATACCTTGATAAATCCTAAATTATCTTCACCAACTTCAGACCTAGCAAGAATCATAGGATATTCGTCTTTAATAGAAGAAGAGAAATCTTTAATAACTATTTTGACATAAGTGCCTTTTTTATACAATCCAAGATTGGAATTAGTTAATTAATTAACTAGTTATTATCTTTCTTGTTGTTTTTCCTTTGAATTTTAGTTTTCATCTTTTTAATTTTAATTATTATCTTTATTTTCTTATTCTTATTCTTTATCTTCTTATTCTTCCTCTTCCATTTATTTTTCTAGGTTTTCCAAATCCACAACATCAGTTTATCCATAAAAACCTGTCACAAATAGTTCTTTAATTTCCCTGTATGATTTTCTTTCTTAAACCTTAGGTATGTATCTTACACTATCAAACTCATTAATACCATTCTTATTCTAATATATTAATTCATGTAAATCAGTAGCCAAAAGAGTATCTGTTATAGGCATGACAGTTCCATTCTCAATTTTGATATTAACTCTATTCTTTAGTCTAACTAAATCTCTTTGTTATTAAATCTATTATTAATTATTTTTCTTCTTGATAGGTTTGTCTTCTTCCAACTCAAATCCCTCCAACAATTACACATCTTCTTCTTCCTCTAATTATTTATCAATTCCTTCAGTCATTTGTTGCAATTCTCTAACCATTCTGACTCCTTCAGGTAATTCCTATTCTTATTCTTATTCTTCCATTTCCTCATCATCTTGCTCCTCATTATTAACAAACTTGTTTTTTTCTGTAAATATTGGTTATGGAATTGTAATGTATCCTGCTGTGGCATCAATAGCTAGAGCACCAACACTGGACATTGGAGCATAAACCAATTTCTCAGTATCCTTCAATGATCGATGCTTTTTCTAAGCAGTTATGATCTCAACTGGATCCAGAACTTCTTCAAAACTATCAATATAGTAATCTCCTTAACCTACAAAATGAATTCTGTCATTTAATCGATAAGTGCATCCTCTAACATATCCATAAAAGGTTGTAGTATTATCCTTACCCTATTCGTAACGATCTGCCAATACAAATGGATGTTCTGTTTTCCATCTTACTGGAGCAATCTTAATGATCGATATGAACCTTGCCAAATTGTGGATATCTTATTTCAAATAGTATTCATTTTTCAAGGCTTACAAATAGAACAATTTGTAATTGCCACCAGTTTCATATTCAAATCTCTTTTTATACTTCTTTCTTGTTTTCCTTAGTTACTTGTTGTCTTTGAAGAAATCAATGTGTGTCAAAACCCCCATAACATTTGGAAAACCATGATTATTCAACAAACTTAAGTACTCAAAAGTTTCCATCTCAAATCCTATACTAGCATCAATCATTATCAATGCTAAATCAGCTACCTTACTTAAATCGCTCATTGCATTGATATCACTAGGACACTCAACAAATGTAACTCTATGTTATTTATTTGAACGAACTGTTACTGGACCTACTAATTTCTTAATCTTCTATCCTGTGTAGTGTTTGACAAGAGATTTTATCAATGTAGTTTTGCCACTCCCTTTAGGTCCTTATACAACAACTAACAAAGGAGCTTATGATTCTGCTTCTTCATTGGCTTACAATTATTCAGCATAGAAGTCCTTTTGTTATTTTTAATGAGGCTTAATTATCGGAGCTTGTTTCACTTGTTCTTCTTCAGAATCAGACATTAAAATTTATATATTTAAATTGTGATGAGTCAATAACAAGAAGAACAAAAAGCTATCCCTCTTGACAAATTGACCCCTCAATAATTGCTGTAGATTAAAAAGCAAATAGAGGAGGTATAACCTTATTATATAAAATAGGAAGTCCAATAGCTCAGTTAATCATTATCTTAATTCCGAATTGCAAATGCCAAGTATGATGAAAGCAAAGTCATCTTAAAGAGATTAGATTAAACTCCTAAAGATAATGATCTATTAGTCCCTATTACTGCATCACTCTATGTACCAGGTACATATTAAATAACATAATGAGGAAGATTGATTAACCCTTAATCAGTTATGATAGATTACGGAACAGGATATTTTGTTGAGCGCAATATTGAGCAAGGATAACATTTCTGTGATAGAAAATTACAATTGTTGAAAGAATCATAAGATAAATTGAGTAATATCATCAATTAGAAAAAGTAATTCATGGATAAATTGAATATTGAATTATAGAAAAGAATGTTGCAAGTGTAATAAAACTAATAGCAATAATAATAACAAAAGAAATGAATGATAATGAATTATTTTTAAAATAAAAATCAATATTTAATATATTTAACCTAATCTCAATTGTCATAATAATTATTGTTTCTCCTAAAGTTTTATCTTTTCCGATTGTTATAATTGTTTTTATCTAAAATTATATGTATAAAAATTAGATATACTGTATTATTTTTTTTTTCTAGGGTTACTATCACTCCTGCTCCGTGATGACTATTAATCATAATAAACTGATTACTGATGATGATGAGCTGCTACTACTAGAACTACTAGAGTCTCTTGTTATTTGTGCATATAAAGTGCTTTTATAAGGAATTCTTTGAAATGAGACCACATTTTGATCTGGTATTCTATATTCGCAAATTGTCTTTTCTTCAGGAATTTCAATTTACCCAGGAGGCTTCAAATGCTTGATAAATTGATCAGATGTGTAGACTATGCAATAAGAGTTGGAGGATTCCTCCTAACTAATATTAGAGAAGGTTATTTACTTAACTAATAATTCATATAATCCAATGATATCCCCATATTATTGGAAGACGTTCAATAATTTATTTGTATTGATAGGGTGTTATGTTTTGATGAATAATTAATATTATTTGAGAATATCTGAAAAGGAATCCGTCTTCTTTTTCTTCTAGCATATTAGACATGGAACATTCTTAATTTTTAATTGCACATTCTTTTACAACATTTCCAACTGCACTTCCAAATATTCAAAAATATGATCTTACTATTTTTCACTCTTGAATGTTCCTTCTGGTAATTACTATAATTTCAATCTATTTTTAATATCCATCAAACACTCCTATAAATTGAATTCTAATGGGATCCCAAAGATATAAATTGTTTCCTTAGGAACTAATACATCACTCAACTCATTACTTGATATTTGCACAGGCTAGAGATCCACAATAGGAGGAGCAATTTACTTCTGTTGTGGGATCACTTGTAGATTCAAGACTATCGCATTCTCTTTCTTCTTCTTCTCCGATTTCTCTGATTTTGATGATTCCTAACTACTCGATCGATCCCTCTTTTTATCTCCGAATCTCTACTATCTCAATTTCTCTTCTAATGCTGATTTATCTACTTCTCCCTTTTCCTAACACCCCAATAAACATTATTCAGTACCCTAAGCATCATCAAAAATATATCGCTAATCTATGGAATGATCTTCTTTTCACTTTAATGTTTTGACACCAAATTGATATGCTTCTTCCCAATGTATATCAATTTGGCATCATTGTCGTATCGCATCCCTATCGCTATATCAATAGTCCGTTCATTTTGATTCTTATCTGTTATTTAAATCACTTCGCAAGGACCCTACTCATCATTATTATCTTACCGCCTTCTACACTCTATCTTTCACAAAATTTAGAAACTGATCCTCCGTTTGATTCCCCATGTAAAGATTCTTCACAAAGAAATGTATTTTGATTTCAGAACACTTGCTATAATGTCTTTTATCTAAGACATTTTAAAATCTTCTAGGCGATTGATTTCGACTCATCAATTTATAAAAATATATTAAATATAATCAATTCTTTTTTTTTATATTTTATGTCCCAAACGTTTATGTAGGCTTCCTCTTCTCACCTATATCGAAAATGCTGCTTTATTTCTTATTGGCAGATTTTGCAAAAGGATTAAATTCATCATCTTCCTATTGAGTTTCGACTCTTTAAGATTGCACTTAGTATTATTAAATGTGCTATTGTTATTATTGATGTTGTTGCTGCTGCTGCTCTCTATGTTCTAAAATGGATTTTATTTAGTTCATATTCACTTAATCATTTTACTTCTACAGACCGAATCCTTATCTTTTTGGAGATTAAGGCTTTTTGTCAATACCGAAATTCTACTATTGCTTTATTATTTATTACTAAACATATAATCAAACGAATTACTCTTTATAACAATTTGATATGGGTCAACAGCTTTTACAATTCCTTATTGTTTGTCGACTTTTCTTTCTGTAACTCCAACAAACTAATGATAGAATTCATATCATATTCATCTTTAATATGACATCTAAAGAATTCAATAGCTTTGTCCTTGGATTCATTTAAAATCTACTTAAATAAATCAACTCGGAACTTACGTAATAACTTTTGTGTCTCCTCCATCTTGTTAGAATCGTAAAGGTTTTGAGTATACCTGAGAAGGATGTCATTTTATTTATCATCATTTCTAGCATAATAGTACTTACCAAATTCATTCCATCTATATAATTCATGATTTAAGATGATCAATTAGGTTAGAAATTGTCTATAATTAGCTATCAATTTCTCATCTTAAGAGAAACATACAAATTGTTACTCAAAACTCTATTAAATCATCTCCTATTTCATTGAAGCCAATGGCTAATCTGTCTTTAATAAGCATAACTTGTAATCTTGGATTCCGTAAAGCCAATACCTTGAATTGTGATAGACTTCTATCCATTTATTATTTTGATAGATTCTTATCGATCCTTTAGAATCTTGGATGCTCAATAGTCCTTCATCAGAATATCCAATCCAAGAAAGTGAGGAAAAAGGAGTAAGGAATATATCGAATTCCTCTATTTATTTCTATAAATCTATATCATAGATTCTCCCTCTTAGAACCTATTAATTCAGCATTGGAGAAGTATCATGAAATACAAGGCATAATAAATGTTCATATGAGCACATCGACACAATTGCCCTATTTGTATTAAATTCTAAAATTTCTAATCCGCAAAATGAAATGACTCTACAAATTGCATGATCACTCATAATTGCTAACCAATCATTTCCAATTGTCACAAGTTCAACTCCTTCCTCTTCTGGCAATGAAAATTCGAAATCATCTACATCACCTATAAATTATTAGAAATACACAATTGACTTTCCATCTCCTACTAAATACCCTTATTCATCCAAATCATTTGGTCCTTTTGAGGCTAATACACATCCTCTATAATTTAATGTACCAATAGCATATCTTTATGAATTACTTATCTTAAACTTTTTATAAAATGTTGAATCAAAGAATTCAAATTCAATCATATTAGTATTCTTACACAATATTATTGTCCCAACCGTATTGTAACATAAATATTATCTTCCTCTCGATGGTAATGTTTCACCTGGTCTCAAAACATCCTACATTCCTGAATCCATATTCTACTTTTATTTTTTCTCCATCTCATTTCCTCCTATGAATCCATTTAAATCATCGATGTTCTCCTCAACATTTTCATCTCCCAATTATTCCTCTTCTATCCTCTAATTATTCTATTTCTTGACTTTCTAATTCAACAAATCTCTGAATGCTATGTTCTTATCTTTGTATATTGACTCCACTTCTTATTAAGGAGGATCTAAAGTAGTTTCAATTATATTCCCATTACAATCAAATAAATAGAACAAATTTTAGATTATTTTCATATACAATGGTGTGCATTTAATATTAAAATACCAATGCAATGATAAATCAGTAAACGATTTGAAATTCCATAGTTTTATTTCACCATCCAATGAGCAAGAACCCACACAATTATTATGTATCCATCTTATTATACAAATCTCACTCTAATGCAAAATTTAATATTGCTACTATAAATCTTAAGGTTCATCCTAAGTGATGATATATTAAGCATTTATTTTTCCAGCGATCCAAAATGAATTGCCTGAAGGATGGAAATCTGATTACAATTTTTAGAATGCATCTGGAGATACTTATTTACTTATTGTATATCTCTGCAATAATTAAGGTACTTGTGATAACTAATACACTATCAAACAGCCATCACAACCTATACTACAAACAAATCTGTCTTTCGGATCGAATGCACAACTTAATATCATACCATCATGTCCAGGTTTACATTTTGATATTTTTGTATCTCTATTCAATATTAATGAATTCTCCTCAGAAGCTATTCCCATTATTTTACCATTCTTATTGTATTTTATTTCTATTGCCTTTCCTGTTAAAGTGACGATCAAAGACGGTGCTGTCATTTGGATATCATCATATGTATCTACTCTCATATCTCCTATTGCAAAGACTTGCGAATTTAAGGGATGAATTGCCAAAGCCAACATATTTGACTCAAGTACAGTTTCCGCGGTTTTTTTATGCTCAATTAAATCATACTCCCTCAAACACTAATTCCATGCCACCAATGCTTTATTTCCACTGATGTCAAAGCCACATTTCCCTTTTCCCTCCGTAATTGTTGTAGTCTTGAACTCTTTTGCACTTAACATATAAAATTAGTTGAATTATTTTAAAATAAATATGAATTATTAATCTCAACTAAGAGAACTTGTGCATTATCATTAAAATTAAATGAGTGTACTCATATTTCAAGTAATTAAATATCATTTGTAAATAAATCATCAATCAAGTGACTTTTAACCATATTTGATAACTTACTTTCTTACATAGTTCATAAAATCACCATTTTCTGAATATTCTGGTGTTAGTATTTTATTCTCTCTTCTCCAATCTAATATCGGTGGCAAATCAGCTACTCTACTTATTGAAACAAATGAACATTTGTTGTTCGAACAAGATAAAGCTTTCTAATTGAATCTAGCTTTCTTATCATTAAATTGATAATCCCTCCTTACAAATCTTTCAGTGCACTATATTTAATGGATGTTTTATAAATCATTGAATTCATTCAGATGTTTCTATTTGCTTTTCCTAACCTGTTCAAGTATTTATTATTTTATTTGATATCTATGGTCTCCATTATATCTTCTATTCTTTAATGGTGCTAATATAACTGGTTTTTTCTAGGTTGTTTCAAGGCCTCCTTATAACAATTAAAAAGTTATCATTTATAAACATTAATGAATAAATTTATTTAGATTATTCTGAACAAGCTACGATTAAAAATCATAAAATAAGGGGGATTTGGAACATTGATAATTAAATTAATTGGATTTTAATTAATACCAAATATATTTTAGTTTTTATTGGTATGCTAGTGCTTATTTATCTATTGTAACTCTGAATAGCTAATTTTTAAGAAAAAATTAAAAAGGTATTCACTAAGGATATTTGAAAAAACTGTATAAATTCAGAAATATATTGTATCTTTGAAATTTGCATTTTATGTTTAAGTATTTTATTTAAAAATATTTCTGATAACAGAGATACCTAAATCTCAATTACCAAGATAATTTAAATTACATATCTTTTTTATTTTAGCTTGAATCCTTATTGTATAATTAAAATTTATATGTTCAATAATTACATTACATTTTTTTAATTAAAAATTAGAAATACATAGTTTAAATAAATAAACTATTGAATTAGTGTAAGGTTGAAAAAGATAGAGAAGTCTTCAAATAAATGTAAGATTACTTAGGATTTCTTAAATCAATACAATAAGATAAAAAAAATAAAGTAGTTAATACATGATTTTAATATTAAAAAGATGTATAGAAATGGACGATAATTGCTACTTTTGGATTATGAATATATTCAAAGATCATATTCAGAATCCAACATAAATTATTTAAGGAAATTTTTAAATTGAATTCTACTCTGAAGACAGACTTGGGTCAAACTCTTGTAGTTACTTCTTAGAATGATTATTATATAATTCAATGATATCAAGAATTACACCCCACCTAAATATAATTATCAGTTTTCTATTTACTTCAGCTCATTTTCAAAAATAAGAATTTGCATTTTTTCTTCGAAAATTCTATTTTGGATGAAGCCACTTTCACTCACCTTTCAAAAAATCCAAAAGGCTGGTATATAAAGGAGGATTGAAGATATCAGTAATAATTTAATTAAAAAGCCTTTGTATGTGTTTGGGTGTATTGGTTAGAGTGGATATAGTTGTCACCAAATTGTTTTGTCCAAGTAAATTAGTACAATCGCACAGTATTTCATTCAACATTTTTAGAGTTTTATTATAATTAAAAGCGTCTAATAATTACATTTTTACTCATAGCAATATTTTGATTTTACCTCAGTTCTCCGAAATTATATTAAATAGATAGATTGTAGAATTATTTGAAGTAGAATATTTCTAAAGCAGATAAAAATAGGAAGCTGTAATGTAGAAATTAATTCATAATGATTAAAAATGAAATCATAAGGTTGATAAATTAAATTGAAAAATGAGTAGTTATATATAAAAATTTGGAATATTGAAGCAAGTGATTTTATTTAACTATGTAGTGAATTAATTAAAATTGATTGGATAATTTAAGATAAGATAAGAAAATTAGCTATGAATGATTGATTATAATAGATATCTCTAATAACATAATTACTAATATTCAAATAGGTAAAAATTTATTGGTATTTGAACAATATTGGATAAATTGATCTCCTCTTTTTTTCTTCATCAATCTTTCTGTTAATGGTACTGTCAAACCGGCCATTACATAATATAAAACTAATGGACTGATCAAAGCTAAGCAATCATGTCTTGATTTAATGCTAGCAATGGCAATAGTTGTCCAAGTCATTAAATCAAAAAATAAATTTGGATGTCTGCTCTTTTTCCATAAGCCATCCTGACATATTGAGTTTTGAGGCTTATTCTTTGAATCTTTGAATTGTTATAATTGATGGTCTATCAAATATTTTATTAATCAATACCTGCTAAACCTTCAAAATATATCCAGAATATTGATGTTCCTAAAATTGCCAATTAAAATGGATTCAATTAATTCTTAAATAAAAAGTACAACGAAGAGCTTGTCACAAAAACTATGAATCCTTGGAAAATGTATTGGCAAAATACAACAACATCTCTTTTTAAAGTCTCTTTTTTATATTTTTAGAAAATGACATCATATCTAGGATCTCTAAATCCTCTCATTATTCTATAATAGAACAAAAATCCTGCTAATCTGGCAGTCCACAGAGCAAGCAATCCCAATTTAAACTATAAATTATTTAAATACTTACTTTGCTCTCAAAAGAGGAAAGTCCAAAATGATAGGCATAGATAGATCCTGCAACTAAATGACTCACTGTGTATGCTACATCAACAATACACTCATTATTCTTTAAAATCTTATATAAAGAGTAGAATGCTATTTGATTTATTAAAATTCCTGGCAATACTTTTTTTAAGCCAATCTCGATTAATTCCTACATATTTTAATTATTTATGTAAATTAAAGAATTTAATATTATTAAAAAATAGTTAAAAAACTTTCAAATATTTGTCATTGTTTATAGATATGAATCAAAATCTTTCTCCTCTTATTCTTCTAGCTAATTAGATGTCTCTTGACATAATGGTGACTCTTCTTGCGTGAATGGCACATAAATTAGTATCTTCAAATAATCCTACTAAATAGGCTTCAGCAGCTTCCTAAAGTGCCAAAATAGCGGAACTCTAAAATCTTAGTTCTTTTTAGAATTCATGGGCTATCTCTCTTACTAACCTTTAGAAGGGTAACTTTCTTATTAGTAATTCAGTTGACTTTTGATATTTTCTGATTTCTCTCAATGCTACTGTTCCAGGTCTGAATTTATGGGGTTTCTTCAATCCACCAGTTGGACCAACGGCTGGAGCAGTCTTCCTTGCTGCTTTGGTGGCCAAATGCTTTGTGGGCTTCTTATTTCCAGCAGTACTTTTTCTCGCGGTTTATTTTGTTCTTGCCATTTTTTATTAATATTATTATTTGTCTTCTTAATAATTTGACTAGCCTTTATATTATAAATAAGATATTGATTAAATGATGAATAAAAGGCATATAATTTTATTTTTATTTTTTAATTTCATAAATAAATAGAATTATTTCCTTAATTCAGCTCAATTTCATACAATAGCCCTTTTATTATACTTGTATCATATGCATTTTAGAATAAAGGCTAGATACTCTAAATGAACTTCCTTCATAAACAAATTGCGATCAAGTATTGATTTTTTTCAATTAAATATTTATTTTCTTGACTTGTATATTTCCATTTTAGAATTTGTATCCTCAAAAAAAGATGAACAATAACTTTAGTTCTTTTACTCCAACAAAGCTCATTAGAGAGCTTATATTCTAAATTGAATTAATTTTTTGTATTTCTAGACGAATCTATCATTGTCACTCCTATCAAATTTAAATGCATCATAAAAAAGAACAGGAATCTAAATTGAAATATCCGATATTTTCTTCCAAGATGGATTGCAGATTTATACAAAATCTCAAATGAATGAAATGACCAGAGATAACAGAAATAAAGGATTTCCTTATTATCTTTATGTAAAAACTAGTAATTTAGTTTTAATCTACAAAATTTGATTTTAATTCCATCAATCTTTCACATTAAGACATGTATTCTTAATAGATTATTTCACTTAGACATTTCATATTTTAAATTCTTATTAATCCTTTATATTGATTCCCTCTGTTTATGATAAGATAAATGGTTAACTATAAAAGATAGGTGATTATGATCACAATTCATTAAGGTAAGACTATTGTGATTAGATAGTAATTGACTGATTATAATTATAAATAAAAATTAATGTACACAAAATTCAATCATAGACCTGTGCAAGAGTTTGCTTATCAAAGGAAACCAAAGATTAAAGTTCTAACTAAATTGGGATTTTAAGAACTTATGAAACTCTAGAGCAATCCAGTCCAGTTTGAAGAACAAGAAGATCTGACTCTACGTAATTATCTTAAATAAGGCTGTTTAGATCCATTTACAAAGAAATACAGATCTTAGATAAATTTATGGGAAAAATTGAAGTAAGTAGAAAACGAGGGAATTGGTGAAGAGGAAATTCAGGAATTTAATGAATTTGAGATTATGAATAAGGAACACCCTTATTTGTTGAGAAATCATGCTTATCCACTCTAAGAAGAATATTAGGAACCGCTTAAATTACCATAAATACAGACAGAGAGATATCAAAAAAGTAATGCCCCCAAAATATGGGAATCATCATTGTTCAGTGGGGAGAGAGTTTAGTTAAAGAGGAGAAAGTAGAAGAGATAGGAGGCATTTAAATTGGCTGGGTCTTTGTCGTTGAAGCATTTTGATGATTTACATTAAGCATACTAAGGAATTTAATGTAAATTGAATAGAGCAGTTAATTTTGAGAATAATTAATTTAAATTTTAAAATGAGTGATACCGAAATAGAGTCATTGAATCCTTATTATAAAGACATTGTTGCATATCTGCACACACAATAAATTCTCATATATTAACAACAAGATCTGTTGGATGAGTTTAAAATACTGTCCCAATTTTAATTTAGGCTGAAACTCAAAATCTCAACATTATACTTAGCCAAATCAATTTACTTAAGGACCAATATATTGACTTAGGATTACTTATTGACAAGTCTGTGGATTGCAACCAAATTCGATCAATAAGATAGATGCAAATGGCAGATGTCCACAGAAATAGAAACACACATTTTACAAAAGTTAAATTTTGAAATAACTAAACCAACTGTCATGGATTTCATTGAACAATTAATTTATTACATCAAGAAAACAAAAAGAATATCAGCTGAATAGGTTCGATTGATCTATGCTTTATCCTTAATGGCACTACCTTGGACATTGAATTATGAGCCTTCTCAAATTGCTTTTGCTATTATTGTATTTCTCATCATTCATATTAGATCATATCATTCACACTCAAAAACATCAAAAATCATGATTTCCACTCTGATTGTTATGAAGATTTTCGCTAGCAGCTACTCACTAAATATGATTAGAATATAATCATTTCTTAAAAATATCCCTCCAGCTATCTCTTAATTAAAAAGAATTTACACAGACTCTATAATTGACAACGAGAAAATCTAATATTGAATTTCAATTGTATATTTATATTCACTCTTATTAATTATTCCTTGACTAATTTTTGCAATTTTTAATATTTTTATTTCCAACACATTTCAACCAACTAATATATATATCATTCATATGGATCTTGCCATTATCATGAGCTAATTTTAACAAGCAGTATTCCAATTGCGATAAATCCTTCGAAAGAATAGTCACCCAGATATTTTTAACTCAATGCTAAGCATCATATTTTCTGATGACTTCTCCTATCCCAATTAAGAATAAATTGCCAAACTGGAAAAAGCCTTCTTCTTGAATAAGGACACTGCTATCATACTTCAAATTCTATTAACATCATTCGAAAATAATAGTACAAATTTACATATCAATCTTAGCCTTTACATAAATAGAAGATTATATAAATCTCCTTTTGTACAGGATCGACAGTCACATTTCATTACTTGAATCTAATTCCTCCTCTTCATCAAGTCCTGCTCGATTTTACACCCAATATTAAGTGACCGAAAGAATCAAAAAGGAATAGAGTATTAACAAAAAAATCAAAAAATAAACCAAAAATTAGCACAAAAAGACAGACAATACATCAATCCCAAAAAATAATAATAATAATCAATGATAAATTGTCTTGCTCATAACCTTTAAATATAATACTATTCTTTATTTTTTTATTATTCTAAAACAAATTTCCTACATTTTTTTTACATCTTCTCTTCCTTTCTCCATATCAATACTATTCATGTGATTTGAATTACTGAATGAATTGAGAATTAGAGAATAACATTTAAATGAGTATTTTTATAATTTATTATAATTGTTTAATTCTAATCATTTTTATTAGAATATCTAACATAAAATTGCTTAAATTAATTCAAATTAGAAGTCCAAATTGTGTGTCTATAATTTCTATAATTGTCTTTTAATATCTTAACTATACCAAAGCAAGCCATGTTAAGCTAAATTAACTATGCAATTATCTAAAACGTTGAGCATTTAAATTAATCACTATACTTAATTAATTATGAAAAATATTATTAATGTTTTAAAACAATTTTATATATTAAATTTGAGAATAAAAAATTTCTATCAGAAATTTATTTAAAGTTAATTAGGAATGACGCAACCTTAAGGATCGACTCAATACTATTGTTCAATCAAACCGATAAAGCTGAGAGATGATTTCAGTAGTTCGCTAATAAGGAATATAATTAGAGTAGATTTCACTCTAAATTCATTCATTTAACAAATTTATCTCAAGATTTTCGCTTTTACTTGGATTAAATTGAGATGTACTTTTGATGCATATCTAGATGATTTTCCTTTAGTAATTGGAATATTCGCAATTAATCAAGCAAATTTCATAATAAAAATACTATTCCAACAATTTAAATTTGTTATAATTTTTTGATTGGAAAAATGCAGTCTATGTTCAATATTACAGATTCATTTTGAAACTAACTTTCAATTAGCAAGGATGTATTCCTCATTCTTACTAGATATTTTTATGTTTTGTTTTTTGAATAATAAAAGCAGCCTTTTATGGAATGATTATGAATTCTTATTCAGCATTTATTCTTATTTTTAATAACTTAGTCAATTAGAAAAAAATTATTTCAAGTAATATTAAATATTTATTTATGTTTATATTAAATTAATGGTTGAATCAAAATAGCATGGCCCTATTCAATAGAATGTAATTTATTCTATGATTTACATTTAAGTACAATTTGAATGAAAAAAAGAGGGATTTTGTTTAATTAAACATAGTTTAACAGATTAGGAATATGGCAATCAATAATAAATTTCAAAAGGCAATTAAGCACCTCCAAATCTTAATGTTTATTAATTGTTCAGACAAAAATATATTGTCTTTATCTTAAGTTATAATTTAAGTTAGACAAAGAAAATTGATAGTATTCTTAAAAATAAACTTGTATTGTTATTCAAATTATGATATATATTTCCAAAACAATAATGGAATCTTAAACGAATAGCATTTGACATTGAATTGAATTCCTTAGAAATATTTACAATGATTGCTATTTCTCTTAATATTGATTCCAAGTCTAATAACAGTGTTGGATTCTTGTATGGATAATTAATATTTTATTCGTAAAGTATAGATATGTTATTTGCTATCTTTTTCTTATCTTTGATTGCTAACTTTAGCAGTCTGTAAATAAGGGAGATGGATTCTCTGTATTAATATAGTCAAGAGTCGATAGTGATATCTGAAAAAGCACCATCAATTTTCAATGCTTTTAGATATGGATTATGGTCAAAATATAATCCTTTAACAAACATACTTTAAGTGGGAAATGTGGGAATGTTTGATAGCGATTGTTTTCTTTTACATAGTGCAGTAGAGGAACTTTCATTAGCTCTTAATCTAATTTATTATGATTGTGTAGATTATTCTTCAAAGAAAGTCCAGAAAACAATTGCATTTATAGACAATGATGAAGTTGAACATTCATTTACAATCACTATAGATCCCCTCGAGTATGAGAATGTTTGGTATTTATTTGAAATAATATAATGGCCATTATTAGAAAGATTTGAGTTAAGGTTTATTTATAAATAAGAAACCTTTAATAGGTTTTTGAATATTAAAAAACCTTTTAAAGATGAAAATTTAAAGCTTATTTTTGGTGGCGGTATGATAGTAACCAATTCTAAGATTGGAATAATTACACCAGGTACAAAATTTTCTTATTTTCCTGGTAAATTGATTTAAATTAAATTTTAATTTGAAGACATTCCTGAGGATGAAGATTAAGAATTATTGGCAAGAACATCATTTAAACCATTCGAATAATGTGATTGTTAGATAAATGATATTTTGACACTAGATGATATTTCTATTAATCGGCTAGAAAATTAATTTTTTACTTCTTAGAATACAAACTGTAATTCTTTCTAATTATCTGGATGGTTAAAAATTACTGATATAATTTAGAATTCAGATGTATTTACTTATTAGTTAATTGCTCTCACATCAAATTTTTAAAACTAATTAGCCAATAAAAATTTATCACCTTTTACTTTGTCTTATAAGATTTCTCAAATAAAGAATTAAATTATTGTAACAACTTATAGTTACACATTTCCATCAGCAACAATTAGTTTTTCTGACGATCCATTTCTAATAACAAAAGAACTCGATCTCACAAATACATTACTTCTTTGGTAAAAATTATAAGTCCAACTACTTGATGATTAACTTATAATTAATGTTAAATTTTATGAAGGACATGATATTTATGAATACAACATTTAATAATAAGTAAATTAGTTTAAATGCACTCAATTTAAACTTTAGTATGGTAACATTTTATAATCAACTGCTAATTACTTTAAAATTATAGTCAGAAACATGGGGTTTAATAATTGTAATGCAATTGATACATTATAAATTTGTCATTACAGTTGTGAAGAATGTGATGGTCCAACTTCAAATAACTGTTTATCTTGTTCTATTGAGTCTTAAAGAATATATTTACCTGATTTCAAAGCTTGTGTTTGTCCCTTTGATACAATTGATGAAAAGAAATGTAAATCTTACACAGACCTAAAATTTAAAGTTTCAGATAAAAGAAAAGTAATGCCTAAATGCAATTATGGGTATTTTGAATATGAAGATAGTTGCTTGCGTTGGTATCTTTCTTTAATATACAAGCCCTACCATAATTAATGATTAATTTGTTATTTGCTTAGAGTGCATATAAAATCCTTAAGGATGGAGCAAGAATTCTTAATGTGAATATGATTTATACATAAGCAAAAATGGCGAAGTGGCAAATTAGAAATGGAGAGGTACTCTAATTTATTATACTTTTGATGGAGATGAGTTATTACTTTGCAACAGATGTTCAAAGAAATCTCCTTTTTTGGCTGAGGAATAAGAAATATAATAAATTTTAGGTCAACAATATCTAAGTTTTCAGTGTTAATTTTTGTTTGATTATTGTAGCCGTTGTTGGATATCTGTTGATGGATTTGAATGTTTAGTTTGCTTCTACGGATTTAATTTGATAGATAATCATTGTGTAAGCAAGGTCAAAATCCCTGATGATGTCAAATACTGTCCGACATCATCTTATGTTACTCATCAAAGAAAATGCAAGTTATGTCCGATTCTTCATTGTAAATACTGCTTTGAATACCAAGACCACGATTTATCCAAATGCACTCTATACATTGGTTTTGGGGATTTCGATATAGATAATGAAATCAAAATTGGATGTGCATTATGTGAGGATAACTATATTTTTGATTTCGAAATTGGAATCTGTATATAAGATACTCCAAAAATATAAAATTGTTTGAGATCTTATATATATGATGGCTAAGAAATCTGCACATTATCATCAATTGATGATTTTAGTGTGGCTCTCGAAATAATTAATTGCCATACACATTTACCACATTGTGAATAATGTGTGTTATCACCTCAATATACTATTAAATGCATTGTCTGTCAGGTTGGATACTCTGCCTCAATTTAAAATGGAGGGTGTTATCTAGCTGATGAGTTTGGGGTCTATGGAGGTAAAATCGTAATTGATGCTGTCTTTGAATTAAAGGATGGGTGGGTTTAAAGAATTTAGAGTTTTATGATGAAATTTTTGCCAAATAAATATTTCTACTTTCAAGCTAAATTTGATAATTGGCTTTTGTAAATGATAGTCGAATGTTAAGATAATTATTTCCTTGGCCAATATTTCTAATGTCATAAAAAATGCGATTCCTCATGTTTAGAATGCATAGTTGATGGAAGTGATCTTTAATTTTGTAACAAATGCCCTTTAAATTATTATTAATAACCCATCAGAGATTAAATAAATGGAATTTGTTCTGGATGTAGTCAGCTATGTCAAGCCTGTACATCTCGAACAGATGCTGAGATAAAAGTATTTATTTATTTCAGTTTAGGCTCATCAACCAAATTTTATTATTAATGGTAATAATTTTATCCATACAAAGAAGTGTCTAAAGCAACTTTAAATTCCTAACATCTATATGGATCCATATGATTAAACAACTAAGTATTGCTTTGATGAAACATGTTCAAAAATGCTCGAATATAACTTTGACATATATTATTGTGAATGGTTTAATATTTTTTTGGAAGAAGAAATAGATATTAATTATCTTAATGCAATAGGAATAGATAGCTTGGTTTTAAGTTTTAATTTTACGACATTCGCTAATTCTTGCACTATTTAAAACCTTGAAATGAACACTAAATTAAAAAGCAAAGTATTTTCACTCAATTATATACATTTCATTTATACCTCAAGAGAAGGATTGATAATGAAATATATTGACTTTTTGTATTTCAATAATATTGACAAAATAGAAATTAACTAAATTATTCATGAAACTTATGAACAATTTTAGGTTTTAATGGAAAACAACCATTAATAAATCTAGTTATATTTGTCCAATTTTATTATATAAGATAGCTAAATTTAGGACATAGTATCAGTATTTTAAAGTGAAAAATTTGGTGATGTAATTATGAATAATGTGTATCTCTTAAATACAAGTTTTATAAACTCTTCATTTTTGAATTTAACAGATTATATGCTTTAGGGGACAATTCAGATAGACACCTTTGTTATTCGAAATTGCACTATGCTAAATTCAAATTTCTTCCAAATTACTAATAATCAACTTATATTGTCTATTAAGAATGTTCTCATTGAGGATTCCGATTTTACAAATGTATTTATATATTTTTTTGATTTCAATGTTTTTCAATCAAGTACAGTAGACGTTTATAATATTACAGTGAAGAATAGCAAATTTGTAAACTCAAGTCTTTTTAATTTTTAGAATTATATTACTCTATATTTAAGGTACCTCTAATTGGAATCAAATACTTTAATCTCAACAAATTTTATTATTTCAAATCATAATACCTCATTATCATACATCAAAATTTAAAATAATGAATTTGTAGAATCACAACTAATTACTATGCTTGAGAGAACAGAAAATAAATCAATGGTTGTCCTACTAAATTAAATTGAGGCTTCGAACAATCAATTTGAGAACTCTAAATGTTTTAAATTATTTACTAATCAAGAGTTTAGCCAAATCGATTTAACAATATCGAATCTAATATTTAATGAAATCTCAAGTATCGATAGTTCAGATACCAGATCCTATCTATTTCAGATTAAGGCTCTTAAATTAAAAATATAGAATGTGGATTTTAGAAATCTAAAAAATATCTTTCTATTTTCTATTTTTGATAGCAATGAGATCCTAATACAAAATGTAATTTATGCTAATTCAGCTTAAATTTATTAAGTGCCATTTTCTTAATCATGCTAAGTTGAGATTAATGAGAAAAATTAAATGCTGAAGATAGAGAATTTTTTTACTCTAAAAATTGTATCTGTCTAAATTATCAACTAATTTGCGATTGATGAGTCTTTTTTAGATTTATCATAGAGATAATAGTTTGAGAAACCTGCCAGTTTAGATTTAGCGGATCTTGCTTTTAGAGGAAATGTATAAATATACAAAAAATCATAAAGATTGCTTTCACTTTTAGCTCTATATTCAGAATGGAGTCTTAATGTACACATTAACAAAATTCAATTTTTTGAGAACTGCTTTCACTCAGTACCTGAAATTTACTTTTAATCCTATGCCTCTTTAGTTTTCATGAATATCAAATCAAGTGACATTGAGATCTTTAATTTCTCTTCTCAAAGTAATGCATTTACAAATTCATCTAATTCATTCATTTTCATTGAAGCAAATACAATAAAAATTTAAAATTTATAAGTCTCAAACCATAATATTCTAACCTCTGAATTATGGGAAAGGTTTTATGGTTTACAATTAGGTGTACTTCTTAATTAATAATAAATAAATCAGGTTGTGTTTTAGGCCCTAAATATTTCAAATATAGGAGGTGTAGGGTAATTAAAAGCATCAGTTTTTACTTGTTTAAATTGTAACTTTTAAAATGTTCTTGCTTTAAGGAGTTTCCTTTTTGATATAACAACTTTATATTAAGGAATAATAAAATTTATAAATCTGATTGCAAGCGATTTAATAGGTGATTTGAAATAAGAGACAGATAGTTAAGGTTGTATAAGCATCTCCTGCTAAGACAGTTCTCTCGAACTTGAAATTTCAAAGTCTAGTTTTAGGAATATCTATAACAGAATGTCTCCATCTATACTATCCATTTAGCCATCAAAAATTAGAAATAAGATTAGATTAATTGATACTTCATTTGAAGATTGTCTGTCTCTAATGAATTCGATACTTTTGGTACAATTCTCCAACAAGATATATAATAAAAATACTGTAGAATTGCGAAATATTATGATAGTATAGCAGTTGAATTCATGGCTGAAACATTTTTAATAATTGGGAACTCTAAGCCTTTAAGAACTATTACTTATTTCAAGTAATCAAAATTCATTGCTTAATATTGAAAGTTCTTCAATATTAATATTCAACATTAGTATTTAAGGTGTGTATCTATCACCAATATTTAAAATTGTAAATACACCAAAATTAAAAATTAATCAAGTTTGGATCAAAGAGATTAAGTTATTTTATTCCTTTACTTTGATAAATATACAGTAAATGCTGGATATTCAAACAATAGTTTTGTTTGAACATGTAAATATCTTCAGCACTTCAATTTATGAAGCAAAACTTTAAAGAGTTGAAATATCAGACTTTGATTTTGTGCTTAATGACTGTGTTGTAGTAACCACTCTAGAGAAAAAGTTTCAAGAGAACTAATTGTTTTACTATTTAAATGATATTCTTACTATAATGGAAGAACATAATGAAGATTAACTTTCCTTAATTAATATTTATACTTTATCCAGTAAACATACTTTCTATTTCAATAAATTAGAACTTGTTAATAATAATTGTTTATACTGCACGTCTGGATTGATTAAATTTGATTTAGCCTCTTTCCAATCCATAAAAATATAAGAGCTAATCTGTATTAATAACATAATTAAATAATTTGGATGTATAAACTTTTTAAGTGAAATATAAGATTCTCCTGCAATTTAGATATTCAGTTCCGCTTTTCTATTTAATAGAGGAACTTAAGGAGTTGCTATTTCATCAAACAAGCCTATCATCCTCAAATAGTGCAAAACCATCTAAAATATTGCAACCTATAGAGGAGGTGGTTTATATTTAGAACTGAATAGTAATCAATTTATTATTGAAAATTCTGTCATTATTGAAAATCAAGCAGAAGAAGGTGGAGGACTATACACTATTGGAAACGGAGTTTTAAATTAACATAATTTAAATAAAACGTATTTACTATTTAATAATGCTTCTGTTTATGGAAATAATTTGATTGTAAATCCTACACATTTGGCGTTGTTTATTAATTCCTAAGAAATGAAAGTGTATGAAGTAGATCCAGAATAAATTTAAACAGATGTTCTTAGAATTACACCTTATTCTACTATATAATAAGAAAAATTAATTGAAACTTCCTATTTAATGATTCCCAGTGGTTAATCAATTGAAGATTTTTCTCTTTCTATGCCCAAATTATAATAAACATACCAATAGATTAAGACAATAGAGATAATGTTAAAAAATTCATTGAAGGAATTTCAAAAAAACATCATTAACTCAACTTGCTTAATAAGCGACAAGATCGTTAAAATGAACGGAGAAAAAATAAATGGGAATCTTCAAAATGTCTCATTACTCTACTAAAAAGAGAAAAGTACTTTTGATTTAAGTTCAATTACTTTTTATTTTGATCCATACGAAAAAGATTACAGATATTTGGAAATATCAATTATATGTTTAAAAGAAGGATAAATTAATCCATTGAAGTACGTGATCTAAGCCTAAAGCTATAAATGCTAGCTTGGAGAATTCCATGTTGAAAATGGTTGTTAAATTTGCTAATCCAATCAAGGCTTTTACTCAGTAACATATGATGTTATTAAATGCTCTATATTTGACAAGGAGAAATTTTTGGAGATAACATCCAATGCAATAAAGTTGCAGGAAGGTTATTGGAGACCAAATTATTTATCAGACTATTCTACGTTATGTTTTAAGAAACCAAGTTTTTGTGTGGGAGGTTGGGATATAGGAGATGAACTTTGTAGCAAAGGACATGTAGGAGCTCTGTGTGAAGAGTGTGATATATATAATATAAGAGGAGATGGATAATACTTAAAAAATTTATAAAATTCTGAATGTCTATCATGCTTTGGGATATCAGATAGCATACTTCCTTTTATCTTAAATTCAATTTGGTAAATTTATAAATACAATATTAGGGCCATATTATCAATCATCCTTACTGTTAAAAGCATTGTAAAATCTAATGATTTATTCTTGTTTCTCAAAGTTAAAGAAAGATTTAGTTAAATACTCTTTAAATTAAACTAAGGTATAATACATATATTTTTTAGATCGCGAAAGCATTTTAATAAAAATGTTCTTAAATTATTTATGGATATTTTCCCTTATTTTTACATTCAATATAAATTTTTCTTTTTAGTTTAATTTTGTTGACTCAGCTAGTAATACATCCTTATCAATGGCTAATAATTTAGATTGTTATTTGTCTTAAATAGTGGGATTTTAGTTAATCTATTCCAAGATCATTTTAATATTATTATTGATTTTTTGGCAATTCGTAATCATCATGATAGGACTTTTAGTGCTTCCAGATATATTAAACTCCAAATTAAAAATAAGTATTGTCTCAAATATTTTGCTATGCTTGTATATTTTCAATTACGCTGGATTTATCAAAATGTACTCAATTTATTTGTAAATTTAGGCTGTGTTCGGCAGTATCATACAGAGAAATATCCAATATTAAATACATCTAGGGTGATCTAACATTAAAATTCAATACGGAAACTCATTATTAATGGATGTATTTCTTAGTACTCCCTGGGTTGATCATCTTTGGATGCTTAATCCCTTTGTTATTGTTTTTGCTAATGTATTTTAAAAGAAATGGATTAGACTTTTATACTCTAAGACCTCATATTTGTTATCTTTTTAACGAATATGTATCGAAAAGGTATTACTGGGAATAAATTAAATTGAGTAACAAAGCTTTAATAATTCTCTTTTTAACTTATTTTGAAACCAATACACACTTAAAAGCCTCCTTAATTGGTTTAAGTTTGATTTGTTATTAGCAATTTGCAGCTAAGAAAAAGCCATATATTATTTAAACATTCAATATTCTAGACTTGGAAATGAGTTAAAAATGTTCAGTCTCTATATTTTTGGCAGCCGTAAAGTATGAAAGTGAAATATCAAATAACAAAGTGATTTCACTTGTTCTGTAAATCTGCTTAATACTATTATTTTTTTTGATAACTTTTCCTTTTATTTACCAAATTGGAATAACTAATTATAAGAAATATAAAATACTTGCATTTTCATCATTCCATTTGGTTTTTAAGTACTTTAGGTTCACAAAAGCATCAAAAGTATTCGAATAATTTTTAGACGAATAAAGTAAAAAAGATTAAAGACTGAAAGAAAACTTCACCAAATTAAGAAAATTCCTTATTGTTTTTTCAAAAGCTTAGATAAAAAACAGACCGTAAATTATGAATTTAAATTTAGGGTTATTCTCTCTAGATTCAATTCCAGTAAAAATTACTAATAAACATTATTAACTACAGAGTTACAAGCCTAATCGGTCATGTTAACAGCAAACAGATTGGAATGAATTTTTATAAGTTATATAAAAATTATAAGAATCTAACTTTGATTGTTAAATGGACAATTAATATATATTTATAATCTCCAATATGTTTAGAGACACCATGATATAACTAAGTAATTTTGCAGTATAACATTTATTATCATCTTATATGAGCTTCTGCTAAATTAATTAAGGAATTATTATACAAGATAAATCAATCATTAATTTCTTTTATTTGCTTTATTACCATTTTTATTCATCTTCCAAATCTGTTTTTCCTTATATCTAAAATTATATATTTTTGAAATGGAAAAAATCAACTTACAAGTTTCGTATTCTTTTTTGATATCTACACTAATTCTTTTAGCATGTTCTCGCCTGAGTTGTTGTTGCAATTATAAAACATACAATGATTCATTGATTCCAATTGAACACCCTATTTCTATATAGACAATCGATTCTCCAATTAATGAAAATTTCATTTACTTTGGATTTTGGAGTTTGGGCATTCCCCAATAAACTTTTAAGAATTACCCATAAGTTGTTTCAGATTACATATCAACTCTGCCTGAAAATGGACAATTATTATTTTTAATATAGGGGAAACAAACAAATTTAGTCTTGGGTTATATATCCATGAATATGATAATCAGACAGGTGATATACAATGTTGTCATATTCAGGAATCCTAATTAGATTTTAGAATTTAGATTTAATCCAGTTTAATTTGAAGAAGAGTGGATTTTAAGTTTATTCACAATTAATTTCGAATAGTCAACATTCACTGTAGAAATGACTGGATAAGTAAAACAAAGTATTAGTATGTAGAGTGATATAAAATACGAAAAAGTAATACTAGGAGGACTAGGTTATGTAATTAATAATATTTATTAAATAGATTGGCTAAGGATTCAATCTCAATATTTTCAAAGGAAGATTATCTTAGATTTACTTGAGTTATGAGATTGAAGATGCTCAAAATTAATTTTAATATATGAGTTAGAATTGTAGAATTCCCCTTCCTTAAGAGGAATAACAAACTGTCTATTTTGTTAAAGGATTACAAATTTTTGAAGGAAGTTCATCGTTATTTTATACAGTGAATTAATTAGGAAATCGATATTGCTTAACTGGATGGGTGAAATATGATACATCCAGAATCATAACGAATACTGAATAGAATTTGATAAGAATCAGTCTATTTAAAAACTATAATTTCTATTAAAAATATGGAGATGAAATCTTATAAATAATACCATTTATTAATAAGGTAAATCCTAAAATGACTTATATATCAATAATTACAGATAATAGATATATGCCTATAATGGGTTTAAATGACTATAATATTATACGTCCGTTCCTTTAATAATTTTTTGAATATTCCTATAGATATTACCTAGGAGTACAATAATGGCATTTTATTAAATATGAATATGGGTCAAAAGTTCCCGGGAAAAAAAGCTTAATTTAAATTTAATTCTTTAATGATTTAGGACTACAAGAAAAAATTATGAATAATATCTCTCCAATCAACTCTCCATTCTATATCAATATAGGAGCAGATGATTTTTATAGTGATATTCTTTAAGCTTCCATTTTGGATTTTAAATTTGAATATAATTTTAATGAGGACAAATAAGTCATGTTTTAAGGTATGATTTAATAGTTATCAAAAGCTTGTCATTATTCATGTTAGTCATGCAGAGGACCGCTTGAAAACAATTGCGTGACTTGCGATCCTTTAGCTAATAGATATTTTTTAGAGGAAATAAGCAAATGTGAGTGTTTATAGGGATATATAAACGTTGCAAATGAGAGCCGCTGTATGGATTTCTCTTAAATATTCCCATTAGTAAAAGTTTAGGAAGCTTTTCAAAATGATGTAGCCAAATGTTAATTTGGTTATTTCATTTTACCAATGAATGGAGGCTCTACATAATGTGTTAAATGGTATAAATTCATCTTATGAAGTCCTTAATCCAATTCCTTTAACTTGCTTTGTGTTGACTGTCTCTATTCTCCATATACTTGGTACTTAAAACCTATTTGCAAATATGATTTGATCTCAGCTAATGATTCTCCTGACGATGCATTTTCATATGTGGAAAGAAATGAACTCTCTTAAGATTTATATCTAATTAATAATTAAGGGGAAATCGTTCAATAGGAAGGTGTCTTAGATTTTTGTGAAATAGAAACTGATTCGTCTAATTGCTTTTAGGCCGCTCACAAACACCTGAACAAAACAATATTTCTCAAATGTAAGCAAAATTATTTCGCACTTAATGGAAATTGCGAGTAAGTGAATCCTTATTGTCTATTAGCTTCTGCTGAAGGAGAATGTTTACAATACCAAGCTGGAATGTATTTGAAGGGTGATTAATTATTTTAATGTCCCAGTAATTGTGAATTATGTTACTATAACGAGGAGACTTAGAGTCCATATTGTTTATAATGTAAAGAGCAATTTTCCTCAGAAAATGGTTATTGTATTTCTTGTGGGAATTATTGCAAAATCTGTTAAAAATATTATGATCCCATCAATCAAAATAGCTATCAACGATGTTAGATGTGTCTAGATGATTCTTAATATTTCATTACCTTTGATGCAATTAATTGCTAAAAAAATACAATTAAAAATTGTTTATATGCTTATCAAGCTTTGTCAAACAATTTTCAAATTAATACCCTCGATAAAAACTTTACTCCTAGAAATGATTGGGAAAATATTAACACGCATTGTGCAAGATGTATTCTTTACTATGGTGTTGTTCTTGATTAAAATTTATGTTTAAGGATGCATGAAGTTACATGTCTCTTTTCAGTTGTTCAAAAAGTTTCTGATATACCTTTAGACGATAACATCTATTATACAATAATAGAAACTGATTTTTATATAACTCCTGAGGGGGAAGAATTAACATTTGCCTTTTTAGATGATTATAGTATTGTATTAACAACATATTAATACTGCATAATTTCAGACTATTACTTCAATTAATAGGATATAGAAGTTGCCTAATTTTAAAAGTATTGCTCAGGATATGTCACAAATTGCGAAGTTTGTTTAAGAGGGACTCCATATACCTGGGGGATGACTTACACTTGTCTTGATTGCTAAAAAGGATATTATGCAGATAGAGTTTCTGGTAAATGTTATTAATGTCCTCCAGAGTTAAATTGTTATAAATGTTAGGCTCAATAAAAAGTTAATAAGGATCGGTGGAAAAGCTAAATTAGAGCTTATTATAAGGTAGTTATTGAAAAGCATTCTGACCATACATTTAAGCAATATGCACAGAGTGAAAATTATGATGATTATGAAGTTATTTGCTCAGAGTGCTATAAAGGATATGAAATAAGAAATGATATATGCGTTCCTTCTTGTCCTGAATCATGTTTGGAATGTTAGTACATTAATGGTTAAAATCTATGTGTCAAATGTCCAAAAAATAAAAAAGGTAGAATGTTGAGTTTATCATAAAATAAATGCATTGAATGTCCTTAGAATTGTGCTTTGTGTAGAGTAAGATCAAAAGATGAAATTCAAGGTATTAACCCATTATTTGACAATGATGATTTTATCATTTACACGTATCAATGCTTAAAGAGCTTTAAAGATGCTGAATACTATTATAATTTAGAATATGGCACCTTTATAAAATGTTCTCAACATCAATAATGCAACTATGAATTCATACTTACTTTCAATCTTTATTGTTCCGAGTTAGAATATGAATCTGAATTGAGTTAAATTTCATCATAATCTGAGCAAAATATATTTAGATAATAAAACTTATTATTTTAGGATTTGGTTTCAGGAAACAGTTTTAAGGAGGTATATGTAATATTCATTATAATTAGTTTGAAAAAGATTTGTTCTATCACTAAGCCAACGAATTATCAATAACAACCATTAAACTAAATATATCAAGTGTAAAAGAGTAAATTTGTAAAATACAATCTAATGGCATTATTAAATAAATCTTTAGTAATAATATCTTTTTCACAACGTAACTATTCTCATTATTAATTTAGAAACGTGGAGATAACACTTAATTTCAATAATAATACAATAATTGAATTTGAAAAGCCACTAAAATTCTTAAATTTTAATAAAATAACTATATTAGGAGCCATCTTTCATCCAATAAGCAATGACAAATCAAAATAAATTATGTTTTTTAGCTTATATCCTTAAACCATAACTCTTTAAGACATCATTTATTAGTAGATTTCTAAAGACAATGATTAGTCAAATATGCTTTTTGTTAATGTTTAAAGTGTATAATTTAACAATTTCAAAATATTGGGATTAGTTTAAAATTAAATAAGAAATTTTATTGAGATTACAGAAACGGTGAATTAGAAAACTATCATATTCTTAAACTTTTAAATTCTAAATTCATTTTTATAAAATCAGTTCACAATAAATTGCCATCTGAACTAAGATGATAACATTTACATTGATAATTTAATTGTAAACTCTAAGTTTAAGAATGTAACTTTGATAAAAACAGGAGAATAAGAAAAATATGGACTTCTTTAGATGTAAAATGTTATTTTTTAAATCGATATACTTTATTGCTTATCTTTTTTAAATATTTATTCACTAAGATAAGTTAACATTAACAATATGATAATCAAAAATTCTGAAATTTAAAACTCAACACTAATTCTTTTAAATAATGATAACAATTTAGATAATTTTAGGATTTAATTAAGTAAATTTAGATAGATTAGTTATGGAATAATGAATTCTGAACTATTATTGGATAATTTATAAATTAGTTTATCAAATATTTTGCTTGAATCAAATGAATATGATTACTCTACAAAATTTGTATTCTTCTAAAAATACAACAATATTCAAACTCAAATAAATATTACAGAATTGCATATCCTTAATAACTATATTTCGTAGAATATAAATGATTTGAATTTGAAGACTCAATATTATGCCCTTCTTTACCTATAGCTAGACATCATCTCAATAGTTAATTTAGAAATAGTCAGAGGTTATGGTCTAATGGATTTAAGCATAAGTGATGTCCAAAAACTTATAATTTAATCTAGCAGAATATCTTAAGGACAATAGTTTAAATTCTTAGGACTTCATTAATTTATGGATTGCTAGTCATAATAAGTCAAAGGAGAATCTTATTTACAATCTCTATTTATATCTTCAGCAATTGATTTTTAGATTGATGATTTGATTATAAGAACTGCTTAAACATATAACTCTCCCATTTTATATTACAAATCTTCGGAAAAGATTAAATAATCATAATTCGAAACAATTCAATTAAGTAATATTATTATCGAATCAAACTTGGTGCTTTTAACAAATTAGAAATTTCAAACAGCAATTCTCTTTTTTGAATCTGTTTAAGAAACGGCTTTATCAATTTAAAACATTACTTTTTATGGAAATGTATTGCATGAATATATATAAAATAACCTTCAAATATCTGCTTTGCTTCTGAATTTGAATTGTATATTAGGTTCAGTAATAGTTCGTGATTCAACCTTCATTAAGAATATAGTGATTAATAGTACAGATAGCATTATATACATAAAAAGCGAGAAACTAGCATTCCATAACTGCACATTCTCAGAGAATAGTGTCTTTAATTATGAGCTTTTGTAACCTTATCTATTGTGGGGATTCTTAGAGTCTCAACAAGTAGATTCTAAATAGATAAATTCAATCTTTAAAATAAAATCGTAATCTGGAAATGGTAGGCTATTAGTGGAACACCTTGATATTCATATGTGTATCTTTGAATAATCTGTAGGATATTCAGGTGGAGCATTTTTTATTGAAGCTCAAAAGACAAGCAATATCAGTATTATCAATAGTTCGTTTAGTAATCTTTAAACAGAGTTTTAGAAAGAATTGGGATTTGGGGGATCTATATATTTAGATGGTACTTCTTCTTAGTAATTGATCGTAACTTTTCAAGATCTTACCATTAAAAATATCTATGCTTAAGAATAAGGTGGGTTTTTTTATATTACAGCAGGAACTTCATAGGTTCAAATCTATTTAGATAGATTAAATATCCAAAATGCCTATGCAAAATAGGGATCTGTAATATATGCAACTTTTTCATCTCTTCAATAATCTTCACAGTTGATTGAATTTAATGAGATCATTATCCAAAACACTTAAGAAGATTTCATAAACTATATGAATTTATATACATAACTATCCAAATCTGAGGAAATCCTATTAATTAATAATAGAGTATTATTTTTTATTAATTCGGCATCTAAAGTGAGTTTTTTTAATGTGATAATTGAAAACATCATTCTTGAATCTGCTATTTTGATCTCTAGCATCACCGAACTCTCAATTAAGATGTTAATGATATCCAATAGTTTGATAAACTAAAACCTAATTAAAATATCTCCAAATATATGTAATTAGTATATTATATTTTATCATAGATTAAGATTAAATTATATAACTAAAAAATGTCTAAATATAAAACATAACCACAGTTTTTAAGTAGAATAGTTATAACTGTGAATCAATTTAAATAGTATATGCTCCTATTCAATTTGCTTGCATTAAATAATCAGCTCCTATTGATTTGTTCCAAAAATAGAAAAGTCAAACAATATCTTATGGTGACTGCATGCTTTCCTTTATAAATAAGAATATGGATTAAATAGTTTTAGACGATCTAAATTCTGGGCTAATTTTATTCATAGATCTTAATGAATAAACAACAATCAAACTATCTTAGATAGAATTAGGCAGAATCACTTGTAAATATTGTTTAAATGGATTAATTTATTTTTATTTTTAAAAGATATCCTAACTAATTTGACCAATAATATGTATCACACTTTCAAAAACCTGATTCTATTTGCGGAAGAAAAGGTTGTTTAAAAATTGGAATAAGTGATGTTTAAAAACGAAACATGGGTTATCAGCCCAACGACACCTTTTCTTTCTCCATACCACAGCCAGGTCCGCGGCCAGTCCTGTCCGTTCTCATGCATCTGTGTGATCATCTGCATAACTGTCCTT